GAGCTTGCCTTGTAAGAATGCAATAACGAGTTGATTAAAAAAAAAAACTTTTGGATGCCACGGCTTTTTTTAACAAGTTTCAGAAGTGGACAAAAAAAAAAATGCATTCTCCACTTCTTCATTAGATGCGCCAAACGTAGAGCCATGTGGCTCGAGAAAGCGCATGTAAAGTCACGTGCTGTCATTTTGCTGAAAACTGAAAGCTGCACTGTCGTGATCCAGCGCTCAGTGCAAGGACATCACTCAGAGAACAAGGTGGTTTCCATCTTTACCTGCATGGCTACGACCGAACAGGGAAGTTTAACCTTCGGCGTAGTGAGCGACGACATCGTCCACGCCTCGTCCCACGCGCTCTTTACGCCCAACGTTGTCGATGGCCGGCTGGAGGAAGTATTGCCTATTTTCACGCAACTCATTTATATTTCAGACGGCGCCCTCCAAAAACAGACACCAGGAGTACGAATTCAAGAAAAAGGATGTCGTCTTCAAGTGGACATTCTCCACATCAGGGCACGGGAAAAGCTCATGTGATGGAGTGGGCGGCATGCTCAAGCACAAGGCATCCATGTAAAACTTGACAACTACAGAATTGTCATCCTTAAAGAACGTGTGAAGCTTCATTGAGGCAGTCAGACTGAAAGTCAATGGGATTCTTCCGCTCTCAATTGCCAAAGAGAGGCTCAGGCGTTTCCGTGAGCTCAAGAGAAAAGAATGGGAGAAGGTAAACCCACCAAGGGGCATCCGATCCTCACACGTGTGGAGGAAGACACTGGAGGAAGGCGTCTTGAACATTGATTGCCCTAGAAAAGCTTTGCGAAAGCCCAGAGTAGCTGCATTCTCGTGTCAAGGCATGCACGTAACGCTTTGTGTCCCGAAATTTAAAAGATCATCAGGGAATGCGTGCCGGCATGTTAAAACTACAACCGTGGACTGCGTGGCCCCTACACAGGGCGAAAACGGATTCACAGTTTCGTCGAACTAGAAAGAAAGTGTACTGCCTTCAGAAAATGTGCCATCAATGTTTTCGTGTTTTTTTTTTCTGGTTCTGTGCGCGCGTTTCTACATTACTTAGGTGCCAAAACTGTGCAGTCAACCGTCAGCGACCTGCAAGATGTGAAGAGAACTTGCATCGAAAGGCACTTTAGCGAATGGACAGCCGCGGTGAAGCGGCGTTTACGGGTGGGCCAGGTGACTTAACATGTTTGCAATGGGCGCGTTCAGTAGCGGCTCCCTCAGCTCCGAACGGAGTCACAAGAGTTGGAGTCATCGGAGCGCCTACTGAACGGCAAAACAACCCGCGGCTCCAAACCTGCTTCTAGAGCAGGGGTGGCCAGGCTGGCCCGGCCTAAGAGCCGCAAACAAACCCACGAAACTTCCAAGAGCCGCGGAGGAGGAAAGAGGGGGGGGGGGGGGGGGGGAGGGGGCAAACTTTTGTCCAGAGCAACAAACGAATCTTGAACTCCTTTCAATATATCCAAATCAAAAGCAGTTCAACTGTACGTAAGGTAGTAGTCGCACAAGAATACCAAACCGCAACCTGTCTTTCAATGTAAAACGTGTTCCGTTTCTCTGTGTGACCGGGAGGGTGGCGGGTAGGTGTGTGTGTGTGTGGGGGGGGGGGGGGGGGGGGTGGGGAGGGGGGAGGGAGGAAAGGGAGCCGCGAGCCGCACTTTAACACGTGAAGAGCCGCAGCTTGGCCACCACTGTTCTAAAGCAATCATCCGCTTCCTCCGCTGTGCCAGACGGTCTCCGAATAACCTGAAAGCAGACGATGGCGAGCACGATCGCTTTTGTTTGACGCCGGTATTGAAGAAGTCTTTACAAGGTCGTTGAAGAAAAAGCGGGTGACTGTACACATCAGCTCTGCTGTTCGAAGCGATGCAACGCGATGGAGCCCTTCGCTTGACGACGCAAAGGCAGCTACTGTTATAAAAACCGACAGCACACGCAAAATATAGAGCTCGGCGAATCTATGCCGCCGGTTGCGATACTTTTACACGGTCATACGTTTGTTCTGCCCTTCGTAACCCATAATATGTATTCGTATACACACGGGAAGTTCGGCCGCGCTCGGCGATCAAGGTCTTGTCGGCCGAAGCGAGCCTCAGCCAACGTCCACCCCGAATTAGCTACGCAAACAAAACATTGATCGGTATCATGCTCTGCGTGAGTGTCCAACCGGCTTCCAAAGTCGCGTTCATACCCTGTTTTGCTCTGTTGAGCGCGGACAGGACTATCGTCAATATTACCGAGTTTCCGTGCAACGGCGGTCAAGACACGGCGTCAAATGAACGTTTACGTTGTTTATTAGCATATTCAAACCAAACATATTACGGCCAAATGCATTTTCCGAAAAGAGCCTTACCTGGAAAAGAAATTCGAACGCGTCATTTGTCTTGCCTTGAGCACTTTTCATTAACAAAAGCGAGCAAACCGCAGACCCGCGACAGAACCGAAGCAGCTTATCCCGCCATTATTTTTTTTTTCTCTCTTTTAGCGCCGGAAATCGTCACCAGTCAGGAAATGACGTCATATTCAGCTCCTTTGACTCTACGTGCACCGCCTCAGGACTCGGTGCTTCGGAGCTTGACTCCGAACTCCGAAGCCCCGGAGTCACGTGCACCGGAAGTGAGAGCGTTGCGGGACAGCGGAAACGATCTACGACAACTCCCTAATGAGTCACAACGAAGCGGCGTCAACGCACGGGGGGGGGGGGGGGGGGGGGGGGGGGGGGTGTTAGAACGCGCTCTAGTAATTCGCTAAAGCGTCGATTCGCTCAAATCACCGCTGTTTGCTAAGACGGCATTCGCTCATGTGACCTGTGCTCCCCTGGCTACGCCCTATGCATCCGGGACTTCCACCCGTTAATAACTGGGAGGCACTCACTTGATCGAATGACGTTTTTAGCGAACGCCCACGTTTCATCAAACGACACTTTAGCGAATAGTCAGACGCCGCGAAGCGGCGTTTTCGGGTGGGCCAAGTGAGTTCATATTTTTGTAATGAGTTGCCGTAGACTGTCGCCGCGAAGCGGCGTAAAGCGCAGCGCGACGGATGGGTTAACGCGGGCCCCCGTTATTCGCTAAAACGACCATTCGCTCAAATGTCGCCTTTCGCTAAAATGTCATTCGCTCTTCTGATATGGACCCGCAAACCACCAAGGAGGAACGCGCCGGTAGCTCTTTCCTCCTTAATGCATCAGTCCCTCGCCAGATGCTTTTTCTTCTGGGCCCGTTTGCCCGAAGCCGGTTAACTTTAACCGCGGTTAAAACTTAACCGCGTTCTTCCCTACTAGGTATACTTCGTCTCACCTTAGCATGGACTATTGTTAGCCGCGCGTGCCATAAGCCCGAGCTAGTTGCTTTGGATGAAGCCTCGACGACTGCACGAACCCTCGTGCAGCGAGTGCTCCAGTCAAGGATGTCGAAGCTAACCGCTCTCCCTTGCACAGCCTTCGCAGTTAGTCTATGCTAAGGTGAGATGAAGTATACCTACAAGTATTTAGCCAAGTTTGACGAGGGCTGGATGAGCGATAGCTTCGTGTTTTATTATGGGGTGGGAGCTGGTGTCATCTACTGGTTTGTAGCGAATGTAAGTAGCTTCCGTGGAAAAAGTTCCCGAAAAGGGGGGATCCAAAAATGCGCGCTACCGGGTTTTTGCGACGCTGCGCGGCATACATTTGAGTAGACGCATTTTTTTTTTTTTTTTGTGGCTCGTGGTACAGATATTGGATAAGGTAAAACTAAATTCACCCTTGTTTGGAAAGTTTCTAAATGCTTGGCTGTCTGAATTGAAGACAAGCACCGCTAAAATTTTCTTCCAAGTTCGAAAAAGGGCGACGAAGTTCAGTCCTATCGGAACGATAAGGAAAGAGTGAGCAGTGGAAGCCGGGCAGTACACCGGCAGCATGGTTGTCCAGCATGTAAGAACTGTAAATAACACCATCAGAAATTGAAAAACTTGTGATTCGGCTCCAGTGAAAATATACCTATTTATAAATTACTCAAGCATCGAAGAGAACGCCGGAAGTGTAATTCTACGGTCCGCGCGCGCTGACCTTCCCCTTATAAAAAATTCATTAAAGCTTTGACGAACGCGCGTGCAAGGCAAAATTTGTTTTAGGTTTTTTGCTTTAGAACAGATACTACTGCAGACGTTAGCACGTGCAGCGCGTGTAACTAACTACTCTCGTACGTAGCATGCACCTCGGTGCTTGGTAAATTTAGCAAAAGGTCTTTTGGGACGCTGTCTGCTTTTGTGTGCTATCAATACCCGGCCGATTGAGACAAGGCAATCCACTCTCCGAAGACGTTGCCATGCCGACAATTATCGCGTTCATTTAGGCTTAGGAATGGTCGGAATCGAAAGACTATCTAAAAAATGCGGCGATGTCATTGCTCGCGCTTTGCGATTAAGTGAGGTAAGGCAAAGCGGAAGCCTCTTGCACCATTCATTGCTGACTGAAGGGCCGCCCACACTAGCGAGAAAACGCGAGCGGCGCGCCGATCGCGTTGAAAACGCGTTCCGCAAAATCGGTTGAGCGGGAAGATTTTCCTGCCGCGAGGAATGCTTCAAGAGTGCGCGAGGCCTCCTGTGCTGTCACGTGACATTCGCGGCGGCAGAACTCTATCTAGTGTGGTCTTCAGGATGCGGGACGCGTCTTCCCGCGATCGGCGTGCCACGCGCGTTTTCTCGCTAGTGTGGGCGGCCCTTTACGCGCACGATATTGCAGCTACAACGACATATTAGTTTGAAAGCGAGCGGAGCTCACTCAACGGGGCGCCGCCATGTTACCCCGCCGTACTTTGTTTGCCGGTCACGTGACCTAAAATTCCCCGTCGTAGGGAAATGTGGTTAACTTTTAACCGCGGTTAGTTAACCAGCTTCGAGCAAACGGGCCCTGGACTTGATGGAGCCACGCGGTATACCTATTTTTTGGTGTTTATGAAATAGAAAAAAATATATATATTGGATATGTGGAAGATTTCAAAACACTGAACAATCAATAAAAAAATGTTTAATATATCTTTAGGACCAAGAGCAACATCGAGCTAGATGTCGTGGACAACGATAACTCGGTGGAAGAGGTCCTCCAAGTTACGAGGAGAGCTGGAGGACGACAGCGCATCGCAGCTGCTCGCTGCATCGTGGACGAGCGTGGCAACGACCACCCTGCACACTAGGCCTCTTCACTCCACTCCCCGCATGTCCCTCCAACCCTGCCTTCTCTCCAAGCTTCTGCCTCCGCTCCATGCCGCCCCCTTCCTTCTCCACAGTTCACTTACGCTGCATTTGCAAACCGTTTCCCCAAACACACCACAACCACCTCAACAATCTACCAATGACACTGCGCTCGTCGATGATATCAACAGTTACGCCACAAAGAAACTCCCAACCCACAATTCTTACCATCACTGACTATATCACGTAGACAATGTGCCCCAGCAGCTGTGTGGCTACTACCAGGTCCATCTTCTGGGTGTGGCCTTGCAGTTCGAAAGATGTGTGATACCAACAACCCTGATGCAAGTACAAGGGCCACAAAATAACAAGTATACGCTGTAGCTCCTCTCGGGTGAAGTTGATTGGGTAATCAGACATAAACGTATGCCTTCTTTCTCCCATCATCACATGCACCTGTCGTAAACAAAAGAGATTAAACCTCTCAAGCACTCTGCTCGGAGTCCACTAGTTGTGGCACTTGACTACACTTTGCGGCCTCACTTTACCCGCTGCTCGCGGTGTCTTCGAACGGCTCTGGACGACTTTAGTGGGCTCTCACCTTCGGTTTACTTCCAGTTTGTGCCGTAGGCCCTGAGATATGTCCGGATCTTGTCTCCGATTGTTCCTTCTCGGAGATTTTTTAGGCCTTCCATAAGCCTGTGAAAGTGCCTGTATATCTCTTGTGGCGCCTGGTGCTGTTTCGACGCGAGGAAGGTGTACCACTCTAACGGGTCGCGTGTAGTCGGGGGTACCGAGCTCTTGACAGTACTGGTCCGTCCAAAGGCAGCGTCGGGATTCCTCCTCGGCTTTCGCAAGATCATTCACGAAACATAGTCTGAATTCGTTGACTCCGCGTTGAGCGAAGGCGAGCAGCAGAACGTTTTGGGCAATTTCGTCAAAGTGAAAATCGGATATGTGTCGTGCATTCAACGATCTTTCTGACAACAAAAGGCTCCCCAGTGTGTGTAACCATGTGTGTAACGCACAGTTAGAAGCCGCTGAGTAGGGTGATTTCTGGACCAGCCGGAGATCTGAGAGGTAAGGGGCGTAAGAGTGAGCCAGATGCATCTCTTCCCCGCTCTTCATGATAGCTACCGCGTCATCGGCGACTACATCAACAAAGATCCACTGGTAAAGTTCCTGTAGAGAGAGCCTGGCCGTCTTCACCAACTGCACTAACGCAGTTTGCACAGAGCAATCGCGAAAGCGCGATGGCATGGTACCGATTCGGGCAGGGGCCAGTTCGTTCGTTGGAAATCGATGGAAAAACATGTCAAGGGCAGCGACCATACCCAGGTAAGTATGATTAGAATACCAGCCCGAGTATGATCCGCCTGCCCCTGAAAAGTCAGCGGATGGCGCCGAAAACGGCGGAGTCAGCAGCAAAGCTGCCAGCTTCCCCTGCACATTATTCCGGTATTGCACAGTGCCTCGATCTTTCACCGTCAAGACCCGGTAGACAAAGACCAGGTATCCAAACAACGCCCTGTCGGACATCGGAGTCACGGGCTCTGTTGTTGCAGCGGGTGGGTCCACTGTCGCCGAGATCTGAACATCGATGATGTCCCATGGTGTAATCTCATCATCTTTGGAGCCAATCCTGACCCCATAAGACGTCCAATCCTCTTGGAGCTTTTCTCGGAGGTTGAGCCCAAACTTGTAAAGGAACATTGTGGCGTGCTCCACCTTGAGGTTTGTTGTTCTGATGCCAGCTGTTACAATTTGTCGTAGTTGGCCCATGGAGAGAGTGTCCTTGCACACCCTGACCGATGGCTTGACGGCTTTGTTCTTGATGAAGAAATTGGACGGAAACTCTCTATCCGTCACCCCCGCGGGTTGCACCAGTGTGACGGCTCGAGATGTGAAGTGGCCGGGCTCGATCCAGAACAGGGTGACTGGGCCAGCCTGGGAGGCCATGATCTCGAAGAGACTTGAATGGTCTGAAAGGAAAAGCACCAGTGAGTGGCGTTCTCCCACACATACAGCAAAAATAAGAAAGAATGGTGAAGTGGCTGGCCCATCGGACGGGCATCATAGGACCTCGGAGTCCACAAAACAAAAACCTGGACCGACTTGCTAGAAGAAGTGTCTCAGTTGAGACTGCTCAAAGAAAGTGCTGGCAAGGCTCGGGCGCGCGAGCGTCTGAGACTCGGCTTAAGCTCGAGCGCTAGCCTTGACAGCGCTTTCTTTGAGCAGTCTCAACTGAGACTCTGCTTCGAGGAAGCCGGCCCTGGTTCAACTCATAGTTTATCTTGACGGCTCACGTGACAGGTATTGGAAGCTCATCAAGAGGCCAAGAACGAAAAATCCCAAAGTGATCTACAGATCAGGTTTGTAAGCGAGGAATAAAATTGTCCGAATAACAATGAACCGGGTAAACTTTTTACTTGCATGAACCAGTTGAGATGACACGAGTCTTCCACTACGGAATCTTTTAGCTGTGCTTCTCGAGACCCTCGAGAGACAATTTTGTCCACTGAATCAGCAGGCTTCTCCTTACGTAATTTTAATGGTGCAATATAAGGAATGAGCCTCTGAGCATCCGCTTTGTTCAGACAAGTTGTTAGCCTGCTGGTAACCAAAAACCTTCAAACTGTTTTTCTTTTCTTTCTTTTCTGGGGGGGGGGGGGGGGGGGGGGGGGGGGCAATCAGTTGCTTCAAACCAGGCAAACTAGAACCTTTGGCAGCTAGAATTCAGGTTACTTGGAGAGTTTCACGCTGAGATGTTACGTTTTGCTGGACGATTTCTGAACCATATTAAACAGGTTGGACCATTGATTTTTATCCTAAATATACCTTCAGGTTGGTATTTGAGATAACACAACCAATAACCTCAACAATTCGAGCAATTCAAGCTAAACGAAATTAGAATATCTTCGACATACCTCACCGATAGTGCTGTTTGCATACAACACTCCGGCAGGGCTGCACATTGCCGCGTGCGCAGCTAGCCAAGTAGGCAGCGCGCTTGGCTCCCACGCAGCTGGCCAGGGTTAGGATCTTGCCACCGCTTTAAAGGGATACTTCAACGAAATTTGAAATATTCCCGTCGTGTTCAAAAATAGATTGAATATGATCCACAATATCCGTAAAAGACAATCGCACGTTTGTATTTTGATCCTGGTGGCTGTATTTTTCGTTATAAACGGGGCACTCTGGCAAGCGCTCGGAGAAGGCCCAGCGGAGACCACGTGACATCCAACGCAATCGTGACGTAGGTCGTCTCAAGACGAGTAAAGCTACGGCGAGGCTGACGTCGAGAGGATGGCCTAGTCGTTCCAACCACCGAAGCGGCTGCTTTGGTACGAATTTTGAGTGACGGGTTAATCTTCTATAATCTTGTAGGGGGACAATAGCGACTTCTGCGACACACAAAAGGCATTCTCCGGAAGAGGGGAGTTCCTCCTGCCCCTCTTCTCTCGAGGTGGCCGGAGGCGAGACAACCTCCGTCACTAGCTGTCAAGGTTCCTAGACGGGCATTACAAACGAGGCGTTAGCGACATCCACCAGGTGCTCTTTGCTAATCGTTTAATTCGTTTTAAAATTCCTTTTCGAGACTTTTTTAACAAGATATTGGTATGTTCGATGTGATACTGCTCCTTTGAACACGTATAGACCAAAAAATGAACGCCGAAATTTCGTTGTAGTATCCCTTTAAAGGGGCTATGACACGAAAATTAAACGGATAAATTATTCTTGAAATGGAATGCTCACAGGCTACTTAGTGCATATTCCAAACTACGCGATTTTTAGAGCTCTGGTAATTGCAATAATCAATTTACGAATTTTTATCATTTTCGTCTGTCGACCAGGCAGCACTGCCCAAGTTAGTCACACCATGGTGTCCATAAACCACGTGATATTGAACGCTCTCTCATTCTAGGCGCCCCATAATCGCCCAAGCTCTCCTCGCCGCGGTACGATCAAAACCGCACACGCAACTCGGCAACCCGAACGCTATTCTCGCTCTCGCCCCCGACCCGTTGACCTTCCACCCTGCATGCGCCTGCGAGATATTCCCGGACTACGGTGACCACGGCGAGTTCGTCCAAAACTCGCCACCGCTGGAGCTGGTCGCCAGCCGGACGTAGTCAAAATGAACAGCTTCCAACATTTCTTGATAGCAATCACTCTCATCGCTGCTGCGATCAATGTCGAACACTCTGACAAGGCGAGCGATGCCGTAGACACAATCGTCACGGACCGCAAGCTCTTACCGCAGAAGGTAAACGAGGGAGCTGAAGCTCGGGACGTCGAGAGACAAGTCAGCGAGTGCGTGCAAATAGGAAGGGCCTGTCCAATGCCCTGTATGACACTCTTTTTCCAGAGCCCTTGTATCGCGCAGTGCACAGACAAGGCCCTGGCCAGGATGTTCTTCGTCGTGTTAGGAAAATGGCGATCCCGCCGCGTGCAAAATGTTTGTTTTTTATACTTCACACCTCGACCCTCCCAGTGAAACATGGCTCCACGAGAAAGGAATTTTTCTTCCGTGGACCACCAACTGCCTACTGTGTAAAACGCCTGAGACCATAAAGGATGTATTTATTTTTTGTTGGGATGCCCTTTTGTTTTGGGACGCGTTACAGAGGAAATTGAAAAAGGACTTAGGAATAACGTCACAATCGATTCGCTTTCTTCCGATTCTCATGAACTTGTGCCGTACGACCTCATAATGCTAGTTGGTCTATACAGTATTTGGTGCTCCAGGATGGCAGTTAGAAACGCAGACCTTAATCCACGACCACTTGAGGCATGCTTATTGGAATTTGTAACAAAAATATACGCTGTACTTACACGGAATAAGATGACCTGACTCCGTGGGTAAAGAAATGTGAAAAACTATGTGAAAACTCCAAACGTTCTTAATGATATGTACTAAGCAAATGTAGATGTAGCCTCAACATGCCCTTTGTGAATAAAACTGTTAAAAAAAATTCTGCTTTAGCATTGGCTTTGGTCGAAAGGTAAGAACGCCAGTACTTGTCATCGCGGCGTGAAAGTTCAAAATTCAAACCGCGCCGGAATATTTTTGTCTTTTTTTCTTGTGTTTATTTAATGGAAGTTTTTTTTTTTTTTTTTTTTTTTTAATTGTCACAACTGCAGTTTGTATAGGTATGAATTAGGCGCCTCCTGTTACTAAAGAGTCGTAGCAAGAGCGTTGTATATTTAAAACCATAAAAGAGCATGTAGTTGCTGGGGGAAGAAAGCTTTTTTCGGCCCCGTTTGTGTGAAAGTCATAGCGATGCTTTAATCTTGGTCAAATTTTAATGAGCTTTATGAAACGATTGTATTAGCGCGTTAAACTTGGTTGGATATATTTTTTTTCTTCCGGCGTGTCGATTCAAGAGGTGGGACAAATAGTAAAAACCGTGTAAGGCGCAGTAGTGCAAGTGGATGATTTGGACGATTTGTAAAAAGGATCACAGTTAAAAAAGCAAGACACACGCGCAAAATATAAAAAAAAAGTTTTTGGCGCGATTTCAACTTGGAAGTTTCACGCCGCGACGACAAGACCCGGCGCTTCACCCCTCAACTACAACAAAAGGCGAGTCTCGTCGTCGCTGGTATAGGTATATAACTATACTGCACCGGGCATTTATCTCGCGTGATTTTTCCTTTATTTTGGCTCATATTTACCTTCCCTTGCCGTAATTTTACCTGCTGCTCCTCAAATCTAAAGGAGCCGGTAAATCGGACTCCAGTTGAAAGCCTCTGCGGTCAGTTTCTGCGAGCGAAATCAAAGTTTTGTACTCGAAGCGGCACGGATTTCTCCACCATTAGGCAGGGACGCTAGGTTTTCCCAGTTTTCCCACGGCTGTCGCTTTCAGGAGCGAGTGCTTCGGTTCACAAATTTGTAACTCCCGCCGCGCAAAAACGCGATTTCGTTTCACAGCTTGACCTCCGCACACACCCGCGACTAGTGTTGAAAATATTTAAAAAAAGAAAAAAAAAAGTTTGCGAGACGTGACCCACGAGATGACGAAGAGCGCGAAACGTCAGATGGCGGGAAAACATGCAGGACCGGTGCGCCACAGAACACACGCATGCTCAATTACGGTGCTCAGTTTAGTTTCGGTTTTGAAAGGCGACCGAAGCTGGTTTTTAGTCGCAGGCGTGGCGCAGATTACTCACATTTCGGCAAAATTAGCCGAATGTAGCAGGGTTAGCCCCTTGGCGCAGTTTGGCGCAGCAATCACATCACCGGGGCTCGCATTTAGAGGCTGAACTTAGTGGAGCAACAATAAACAGCAAAATTCCCGATGTAAACTGTTACAACACGCCGCCACGTACTCTTCGGAAGCCAAATTCCATGCTATAAAGAAGCGATGAACGCCGCCAAACCCAATACATGATGCCAAGGCGCCAGTTGGTGCGCGACTTCATCTGCACACAAATGGCGCACTTGAAAACGCTGAAAACCCCAATGCACTACCGGCGCACACCACCACCAGCAAATTGGGTGTCCACAAAATACCTTTGAACGGTTCGAACGTTGTTCCGGAACCAATAAAAAAAATAAAAGCTTTTTCTTTTTTTCTTTACTCCGCGCCAGCTGTTGGTTTCCTGCAGATAGTGGCGGACACCGCCGGACTAGCCGGGCGAACAAACTCTAGCTCGCCTAAATCGGTGGCGAATTGTCTGTGGCCTGAGCCCATCCCGAGCGCCCGACCTGCATGCGCAGCTGCGAGCAACTCGTTTGTTCTGGAAAAATTCTGCGCTATCAATTAGGAAAAGGCTACAAATAAGTCGCGGGTGAACCCCAAACGAAACTCCCCGCCCCTCGCCGCAACATATACCTTTAGAAAGGAAGTAAGCCGAAATTTGAAGGTTCATCTTTTACAAAGCGCAAAGGTGTAGAACAAATGTCCGTGCACGTCTGTAAAGTTCAGAAGGCTGTTCTTACGCTTGACAACAAAAATACTTATATGCCCGCCCCGCCGGCTCAGACTGTACGGAGTTTTCATAACTTTAACCGCGTCTCCCTCTCCGCTAAGCCTGGCTAAGCCCTCCGCGACGAAGCCGCTACTGCGCCTGCGCGCCGATGGCCTTGGCTGTAGAGTTCCGGTATCGTAGCGGGTTGCGGAAAGCGTTGCGCGACGGCGAATACGATATACGAAAACTCCCTATTATCACCAGAGAACAAATGTAGAGTTTCACTAAATTTCGCGTTCTGAGGTACCATAGCGAAATAGCGCAAAGACCGGAGTAGCGAATAGAAGTTACGAATAAACTGAGGTAGACTTACCTGCTGATGATTTCACCACGTGGATTTGACAGCGTGCCCAACGTGCTTCGAGGCGATCGTTTCTGTTACTTTCTGTTGGGAGAAGAGGCGCACTCCACTGAACAAGCCGCCGCGCAAACTATTGGCCAATCAAGTCACGTGACATCCTGCTTTTAGTGGCTTTCGGTTTTGGACTTCCGGCAGCTCCCGCGCAGGCCTAATGTTGCTAATGTACTAGAGTGTCTTCATGTTCGCTTAGCTGGACATGAATGCACCCTAGCCTAAGGAATTGACGGTCTGCTGCGCTGCTGCGCCTACAGGTGCAAAAGTCGGCTGAAGAGGGGAAACAAGCTTTTCGTAGAGGAAGATCTTGCTTCATCAAATCGGTTTAAAGGACCCGACGGGAGCCGCAAAGTTTTGCGAGGTAAGACAGTTGTTTAGAGCACTCCATTTCATCATGAGCGCGAACATATGTAAGAGCTAGCACAACACTGCTAACTTGGCATGCATGGGAAAAGTGGCGCCATTCATTCTGGAAATGCTCGAGGCACGCGCCGCGCGCCACTTCTGTGAAGAACATGGCGTCTGAGATCTGGTTCAGTGCTGCGCTGTGCCGCCATGATCGCTGGGCGTTACACGTGCCTCGTGCATCGACGCACTTTGCGCTACTTTTAAAATATGAAGGGGCTTTACTTGCTCGTGCCTGTAGCATCGGCTTCGCTCCCACTGCGTGCGTGCGGAGGTGCGGAGCACGCTTGGTCGTCAAGAGTTGCGTACGCTCGCGTACTTGTTTCGCACAAAGTTCATAGCTTGCAACGCTGTCACGGCTCCTGACGCGAGCATGTGGATGTATCCATACACCGTTTCGCGTGCGAGCGAAGCCTGTGCGACAATTGCACGAGTATAATTTCCCTGACGACGCTCTTACTGCGCGAGTGTGTGCTTAGCCCGGTCAAAGTGCGTTCGCTCTCGTGGCGTCAATAGGTTCTCCTTCGCTCGCAGTCTTAATAAAATTAAAAAGACAAAACGCAACCAAAGAAAACATTTGAGATCAACCCCACCCTCGCGTCAGCAGCCTTGACAGCGCAAACCTTACGCACAGGAGAACAAAACATTGAGAAATAAATGCTCTCCCCAGACGTTTTTTCATTACCTTCAACCATGAAGAGAGTAAACCAGGACCAACTCTATACTTACGACCACTCCATCTGAACGATCCCTATGGAAGAGCCTGCTCCCGGCTGAGGGCCGAGTTTTAGTGCCGCCTAGTGAGAGGCGTTCTCATTAGGTGTCACAAAACATGGCCTCCGAAGCTTTCGCGCGCGCGCTTCAAGATCTCGGAGGCTATGCACAAAAACTCGGTCTTCCTACCCAACTCCTACCTGGTCAGGTTCTTCTGTTATCTGCGAGTGCGTGCCAGCTGATCACGCTTTCTGGTTTCAAGCGCGTTCACGCTGCAAGATGTTTTTCTCTATGTAAAGGATACAGAAGGAGTCTAATTCGTTAATTAGTTTGCTTTTTTTTTTTTGTTTGTGCAGCCAACACCAGATGGTAACGGCTGCGCCCGCGCGCTGCCAACGCCATAGAGGCCAACAGAACCTGGTGCAGCATGGAAAAAGACAAAAAAAAGTACCGAGTTCCAGGCCTTGCCACAAGGCGCCCCTGAAACTCAGCCCTCCGAGAGGTGCGTGCTGCTGTGTTTCCAGATGGAGTGGTCGTAAGTATAGAGTAGGTCGTGGAGTAAACCACCACCCCAAACAAACTCGCATAATTATATTTCTTTTTTTAGGGGTGAAGCTCCTTACAGTCTTGCCTTGTCCGGCGTCCGTGCTCACATCGATTGCACTGCCTCCGGGATCGGCCCACTTTTAAAAAAAAGGGGTACGCCCCGCACGGGGGTTCGAACTCAGGACCGCTTTCTTACGAGGCAGACATCCTAACCACTACGCTACACTCCAATGTTGCATGTAGCTGCTCAACGTCTATACAGGAGAGGGCGCTGCGGTCAAATGCGTATATAATCGCGTTAAACTTTGCATGCCTTGGCTCAACGTTTATAGACGAAAGGGCGCTGTGGTCAAATGCTCAACTGCGTATATAACCACGATCCACACCACACATTTTCTTTCTGACATGGACCGTTGACTTAAGCGGTGGATATGCGTTCCAACGGCTTCTAGCGGATCCAAGCTGATCCGCTAGGAGAACCACTGGCTCTGCATTTCTCCGACCATAAAGCAGTAATATTGAAGTCAAAACGCAACCCGGAACTCAGTAGTACCTATGAACAATATAATCAGTGTCAGGCACGTAGCCAGGGGGGTGGCCCATGGGGCCCGGGCCCCCCCCCCAAATCTTCCATTTTGCTGGAACCTGCTCTCTCCCCTCCCCCTCATACAGCATTTTGTCATTAACGGGCCCGCCTCGAAACAAAATCCTGACTACGTGCCTCATCAGTGTCATCAGCACCACTAGAGCTTTGCCCCAATCAACATCATTCACCATGTGGAGATGCGTCCATTTTTTTTCCCCTTCAGTAAGACTTATATCAGTTTTACAATACAAATTAGATCCACGAACTGAGGGGGTCCATATTACATAAGTGATTGACGTTCTAGCAAACAGCGACATAAGCGAATAATCAATGTTTTAGCGAATAATGGGGCCACACGTTAACCAATCCGCCACGCTGCACTTTCGCCGCTTCGCGGCGGCAGTCTTTGGCGGCTCATTACAAAAATGTGAACCCATTTGGCCCACCCGAAAACGCCGCTTCGCGGCGTCCGACTATTCGCTAAAGTGTCATTCGGTGAAACGTGGGCATTCGCTAAAACGTCATTCGATCAAGTGAGTGCCTCCCATCCCCCGGACAGATTGCTGCAGAGACTGCAGCTGCTCGTTAGTTTGGCAGTCCAATATTTGGCAGTCCGATATTGTTTCGTGGTCAACAGAGGTACACCTACCACTAGTGCCATCTCCGTCCACTCTAGGAGTGTGTGTCCTCTTGAGGCCCCCAGCAAATTCCAAGTGCCGCTCTACAGAACATAACTTCCCCAGCTTTTCCAGGACACTGCTTCGGCAACCCCAGCTGCGGACGAGTTTGGCACAATGATACTGTCCATTGACCGAGGCACACCTACCACTAGGTAGTGTCGTATCTGTTCATTTGTTAATTCTAGAAGTGTGTGCCCTCTCATGGCGTCCTGAGCAGGGTCTGAGCAGTGCCCTACAGACCCTTGCTTCCCCACCTTGTCCTGGACAGATTGATGCAGCAATAACAGCTGCTGATGAGTTTTCATTTTCGACTGCTGCATATTTTTTGGATGAGTGCAGACAGTTACACACTGTTACTTACATCTGAGCTTATTGTCGCATTGTTGGCTACTTAACAAAACTAAATAATTTTTTCATTTCAGACACAGTTTTTACTTGGCATCAGGCAGTATCATCAGGATGCCAGTCTTTCTGCTGTACTGATGAATAACAAAGAGCTACAGAGACAACTACATTAAATGCAGCAAAAACTGATATTAGCGCAATGACAGGAGTATCAGTTGCAATGTAAAGAGAACAATTTAAGATTTGAACTTAAGCACTTTCTTACTGCAGATCAACCTAAGTGTCTTGATAAGTTTACTAAAAAGGGAACCGCATAGAGTAAAGACACTCTCAAGAAAACTCTTAAGATTTGTCTTTTTTGTGGCTCCCATGGTTTTGATATGGTACAGGTAAGGTGGGGCAGCTGCTGCCTGCATAGTGCACACTTCAGTGGCATCTCAAGGACTTCAAGTTTGTGTCAATCATTGCATGAGCTGATGGATTCTTTAGCATACAAGGAGAGTTAAACTTGCAGCATATAGCACACTCGAGCACCCTTCTCTTGAGTATGCATCTTGCAGGGGCGGATCCAAGGGGTGGGGGGGGGGGGGCAACGGGGGCGGCCACCCCCTCCCCCTTCTCAGAGGACATTTTGACATGAGTGGACCCCTCGGTGCACACGAAAGAATTGGAGAATAGTATCCTTACAAACTTTCCGCCCTCCCCTCCCCTCCCCTCCCCCCCCCCCCCAAAAAAAAAAAAAAAAAAAAAACAAAAAAAAACGGGGTTTTGGATTTGCCCCTGGCATCTTGTAGTGCTGTGTTTAGCCGATACCACTACATGGATGGCATCATAGGTGTGTCTATACCACTACACAGTTGGCAACGTTGGTCTGTTAATAATGGCAGAATAAAGAAAGTACAATACGACCCCTGCAGATACGCTTGCCAGTTATCTGAAGCTTTAGCTAAAATCACAGGAAATGCTTTTCCGCCCTCCACAAATGTTTAAACAGTTTGCGACAGAGCAAAGCAATATTAAATGGGCTTCCTAACACCGAATCTAATGCTGAAAAAGTCACACTTTTTGAATCATGACGATCGGCAGTTGCGTCTGCTCTACACAAGCACCAAAATGGCGGCGCCCACAATTTCGGAGAACAGAGTGCCGATACTCTAGGCGCAGCTCATTTAGTGGCTCTTGTCTGGGAACCTTGCAGATCTGTCTTGTCAAATTTGAACTCGATGTTGAATCCCTTGCAGCTTGTACAATTTACTCAGTCTTCAGGTTTCATGAAACACACATCAGTAAAGCTCCCCGTACATATATGAAGTGTTAAGAAAACATTTTGATGGTGTTTGGGGTGTGTTAATGCCATTTATCTCCCTTTTTCATTCTGTGGTCCGCTTTGTTATATACTCAGAATGTGTCCTACTTGTAGTACATACTCCTGCCGTGGCCTTACTTGACTGGCAGTCTTGTGAAATAAATGAATAAATGAAATGGTGACTTTGATTTTGCTCTCTTCAACATCATCTATGCCTATGGAGATTCTAATATCGCATTTGCTAGCTGAGGCTGAAAGAAGGCAGGGCCGACACGTTGAGGCAGTGTTCCACTGCAACTGGTCTGTGGATCCCGTCAGGTCCGTGGATCCCAAGGTTGCGAGGACGCTCATAAACAGCATGCGCTGCAACTACACTCCTGGAATTGTGCATCAAGTGAGAAGCAGATCATGTGGAAGGTTTGCCAGAGGTCTGGGAGGCACTGCGGAGGAACAAGGCCCTCCTGTGCCCTGCCACATGGTTTGTCACCTGGGAAGCCGAGAAAGAACGCACTACCAAAGCGCTCAAGCAGCAGTGGCAATCAGTTCATCGAACAATGTTTCATCGACAGCTCAGGCTAGCTTTCTTTGTAATAAGCTGCATGAGACTGTCGCAGTGAAACGGTGTGTACGGCTGAGCCAGGTGGGTTAACATTTTAGTAATGAGCTGCCGCAGACTTGCCACGAAGAGGGGGGGGGGGGGGGGGGGGGGGGCGGGCGGTTAACGGTTATTTGTGATACACGCGTGATGAAATGTCCTTACAGCGTGCGATTCGTGTAACGAGTGTTGATGAAACATTCGTATCTACGAGACGTGTGTCCACAAAACGAGTTTCGACGGAACAATAGGAATGCCTTGGGAAGGTCCACAGGAGCTGGGCCTTAGTTGAGACGGTGATAAAGCGAACGGGGAAGTGGGAGGCTAAAGTCAGGCAGGACATAGTGGATGCTCCAAACCGTCTTGAAGCATTGCAATACTAATGGCCTTGAGCTGACTCATCTGACAGGGCGGTACATGACCATACCTACTTCCGGTTCCAAATTTCGTTGATAAACGTATGGTCAATTTATTTGCGTTGTGATCAACTGCACCTGCCAGAGTATTCGGGAACATAAAGAAGTGTTGGCTGTTTCTCGATTTTTGTGAATACCGGTGTTTATTCGGGCGTAAGACTAGCCAGGGATCGAGAAGTCGACCCATTGGAAGCCAAAATGGCCGCAATAGTTGCCGCCAATGTGACTCCAGGAAAAAAAAAGAAAAGCAGTGCCTAAGCGCTAGTTTTCGCAACCACGACTACGTCCTTGGGAACTGGTTCACACAACTGCGTTGGTTGTGTTGGCATGCAACTGAAATGACCGTAACGGCAAAGTCGCCGGGACAAGTGCTCGCCGTACACATCATGGCAACGAAAAATGGGTCACTAAAAAGGGTCAATCCTTTGCGGAAAAGGCATTCTATTTTTTTCTTACACAAACTCCACCATGCTGCCTCTCCTTCGTCCACTCAGTGTTCATGTGAAAGAATGTTTAGATTGCAAGACTGGTACTTGAGCTTGATTTGCTAGTCACTTTTGGAAAAGAAACCTAAAACTATTGCAAGCTTTATTTTGTGAAAGTACACAAAACGAAATAATTTAGGCAGTTGTCGTTTTTGTGCTTCTCAGTTTCAGCAGTGGTGTTCGGCTAAAAATGACGCTCGTGCCAGTGGGCAGTACAAAAGCGACTACGAGCGTTGTTGCATTTTTACATTTATGTCTATTACCATTAAGCGATGCATTCCACACTTGCAACAAGTACATATTTCATAAAAAGCTTTAATACAGGTCAATTCCACTGCACTGTACAGTCTCCGGAGAAACAGGCTGTGGTTTGGCTAGTGTAAACATCAAAGTCTTGCTCAGGCTGACGCAGTAAGCGAGAGCAATCAAACAAACATAAAATCTGCTTAAAAATGAAACAAAATTCGGAAGCAGCACTGCTGGCTCTTTGCTTTAAACTTCCGCACCCAAGTGTTCCGATATAAAGTTGCTAGTTAACAAGATCAAGTGGCATCACTTTGCATCCTAGCACCTGCACGCAACCTCCTTATCTGTGCAAGGAAAGGCACTTTTCAAGCAACAGTTATGATGCCCACGAAACATTCCCACGTCTCTTGACCACAACATGGGAATAAGCTGCCTGCAGGAGGAACTTGTCAACTATTGACAAATGCACGAAAAAGCACCGTCAAATATAGCACAGGAACTCTTGTGTTGCAAAATGTGGCACGTTCAGTAGCATGACGTATCATTCAATAAAAACTTAAACTCTCGCTTTGACAGAGCAAAATTTAAACAAAACTTTGTCTATGTCTCACATGGTCGTAAACAAAAGAAAAACTGTTTCCTTAAGAATGACTAATGCAACAACCCTCTGTCTACCTACAAAAAAGACCTGCGCACCATATTTTGCCAGGCCGACGTTCAAGGGACGGAGTGGTGTCCCTTTTTCTCGGAGCACGATGAGCATATCGTGGCGCTATAAAGAAGGCAAGTAGCAGACGACGAGGTACCAGCAATGTCGGTACCTCGTGATCTGCAGCTTGTTTTTTATAAGAGTCCTCTTTGCACTACTCTTCTGACTTCAACCTTAACCAATGTATAACACAAGATAAACCACACAAGAAGATCTCGCCGTGCACAGCTAAAGCCACAGTTAATTCAGAAGGGTGTTCACTTAAGTATAGGAAGCTTTGTCTGATAATAATAGCCCCTTCCCGTGGCAAAGAGCGAGCGCTCGCCGAGCGGATTCTTGTTCCCCTCGCAAGGTGCGAGCAATCTCTCCATGTGCCGCTTGTAGATCTGGAGCCAGTCTCCAACCGATCCGTGGAAAAGTGGCAGAGCGCGTCGAGTGGTCCGGAGTAGTTTTCCGCGCAGCCTTTTTCGGAGGAGTACGATCTGTAGTCACTCGCAACGTTTCAGTTTCGTTATCAACATTCCTGAGGGGGAGTGAAGGAGTTTCGCGGCTTTTTTGTTTCGATTGCTGGGTGGGCTCTCTTGGTGTGTTTGCTTTCGTTCCCCTCGTCTGAACGACTCGCCCGAGCATACTGCGGCGATGACATCGTTACAGTTAATTTCGGGAGGTTTAATAAAACAGTGACAGCAAAATCAGCGACAGCGACGAAGATATCAGCTTAGCTCCAGCTCGAGTGACGACGAGGCAGCCGTTCTCGGCGAAGTGTTTGTCGAGTCGTTCACCTTGCCAGCGAAGAAGCCAAAGATATTGTGTTACGTCGAAGACGACGTGCGCGCCTATTCGGATGAAGAGCTAGGTATGTTGTTTGTTTGTTTTGTGGTCTTTGTAATGTAATTGAAATAATTAGAAGATAATGCGCCAAATACTCCGCAGATGGAAGTCGCCTTCGGAGATGACAATCGCTTTACGGCATACGTGTTTTTGTATTGCTTAATAGCATCCTATGGCTCGTACAGGTGCTTTTAGTTTTAATCAGGTTTATATAACTGTCAGGAAAAATAAATTGTGTCTTAACGTCGGGGTAGCTGTTAATCGAGTAGTAAACAATTAAATTTTTTGTCAAAGCATGAAGTTTCCATCAGAACTTCATGATTTCAGCAAGATAGCAATGGGAACCGAAACTGTTAAAAAGCGAGAGCAGACGCTCTGAAAGCGGTGGCGCTGGGAGCGTCGCGCTTGATTTGCTCCCCAGCGCATGCCACTGGGGTGGATCACGTGACCGACCGCTCGCGGAGGCCGACCGCTATCACGGAACGCTCGGCATCTGCCAGGGGAAGGGGCCATAAGCTATGCGGGGCGAAGGTTCGTCTGCTTCTTGCACGGGGGTTGCGACAATGTCAGAACGCCGAGCTCTTATTGGCTGATTGGAAAAAAAAAAGAAAATAGTTGGCAGACCTTGAGGCACCTAGCATTTAGGGGCCCTATGCTACACAGCGGGACCAAGGAACTGGGACAAAGCGGTCTGCTGCAATTGGTCGGTGGCGTGGCGCTGACCAATCGCAGCAGACGGTGTTGTTCCAGTTTCTTCGTCCCGTTTGATAGCATTGGGCTCCAGGTCTACCCACTGTCCTTTCAATCGGAGCTCGGTGTCGTTCTGACGTCGCCTCAACTCATGTGCAAGAAGCAGACGACTTGCTCTCCGGATAACTTTCGTGACGTGTGTGCTTCAAACACTGGAGGTAATGCATGATGCAAAACGAAAGGCAAAGTGGTGGTGCAGAGGCTATGAAACCCTAGCTTTGCTTGCCATTTTGCCACATAAACGTGAAACCGGCGCCTGTTACGCTGGTTGCACTCTGCTTCCGAAACCATCTGTGGGGACATGGTAGGTGCCTTTCACCTTCTTGGCTGTGGTTAAATCGACCACCCAAACAGTTGTCACCAACGTATGCTGACTAGCGTGACTTCCTGTGGCCTCCCTCGAACGCCAGGCGAGACTGATGAGCTGCAACAATAGAGAATGGTCGAGCTGTGAGTAGCGTGCCTGCAATATTTGGGTTGGCAGAAAAAGATTGAGCACCTGTAGTTTGCAATTCAATTTATGCAAAAAAATAACACATTTTAATAACAAAAAAATCTTTCAGTAATCGTTAGCATGCACTTGTTACTGGCAGCACATTATTGGTGATAAGCTCTACCAAGTTTTGTGATAAATCAAATTAACACTGTAAAGGCCACGCAAAAGAAGAAAACAGTCTTGAAATGTTAACCCTTATAATTTGGTTTTCCTAAGTAAATACTGTATTGCCTACAAAAACTTGTTAACCCCCCCCCCCCCCCAAAAAAAAAAAAAAAGCTTAAAAAAAACGGTTTTTACAAAAATTTTTTTTTTTTTGGCCTGCAAACGTATATTACGCACCGGAAGAAGCTGAAACTCTGAGGACGTGACCCTACTGGTTGGGTTGGAACGCGAAACATCAAAAGATTAAAAACTAAAATTTTCTATGAGCCGACGTCCAAGTGACATTGTGGACGGTTGTGTCATTTATATTTGAGAAAAACACTTCGCAGCAACGGAGATAATTTATTTTCCTTTCTTGCTGGCAAGTTTTTTTTTTTGCTTTATACTTAAATAATTACTTGAGGCATATACAAGGGGTCAGTCATTTCTTGTTTTGACCATATTGGGCTTAGGACATCGGCACATCAGAAAGTTTGCGATTTCTTTCCCAACCGCCAGCAACATAATTTCAGAGTTGCAGCTTCTTGCGACGCGCAGACTTACACGGGTCAAAACGCGGTTTCGTCTTCTCTTAGAACAATTCTACTTCGAAATAACAACAACAAAAAAAAAGTCAATCACAAGACTTATCACGATGAAGAAAAAAAAACAAGACGGTGCAGAAAATCTAAAACTTCTCAAACTCGAAACCGAAACATGAAGCCAAGAACAAAGCGCTTGCAGCGCCACCGTAAAACTTCCGGATAAGCGCCTTCGTTTGTTTAACAGCAACAACCAGAGTAAAAAATATCTGCCCTCTGTGACTCAAAACCACGTGACAAGAAACCCGTTGGTTGAGGGTCGGTTGGGTCGGTCAGGTGTCTTCGATGACGTCATCGCATCCACTTCCCGCAACCCCAGCAAACGAACGCAACACTTCAGCGTTCGCAAATTTTCTAAACGTGAGGCACATCGCAAAAAGTTATACGGACGTCGTTTATCACAGTTGTGTCGTTATTGTCCACGAGACACATTTCAAGCTCCCGGTTATTCATTCAGTAAGTACCCCATCACTGAAAACAACCAGTGAAACCCGGTAAAGTAGCAGAAAACGTGCGTCATGGCAGACGCAGAGCCAGGCGAAGACGCCGTTCTCGGCGTCGTTTCCAAACCGCCTCCCAAAAAGAAAAAACCCGAACAAGGCATGGTGGTGGTCCCCAAAACCGTGTACGACGTCCAGCGACTCAAACTCGAGCGCCTCATGCAGAACCCGGACAAACCCGTGCTGATACCGGACCGCCCCAAGGGCCGCAGTCCCCACGACGCCCCCGAATTCGTCCGAAACGTGATGGGAAGCAGCGCGGGCGCCGGGTCGGGTGAGTTTCACGTCTACCGGCACCTACGTCGCAAGGAGTACGCACGCCAGAAGTACATCGACCAGAAGGCGCGCCAGGACGAAAAAGACCAGGAGTTCCGCGAACGCGTCGAGCGCAACAAGCGACTGGCCGAGGAGAGAACGGCCAAGAAACGCGCCAAACGGCTCAAGCGCAAGGCGAAGCTCAAGGACAAGAAAAAGCAGACGGGCAAGGACGGCAACAAGGCGGATGCCAAGCACACGGAATCTGACGACGACGATGATGAGGGTAACGAAGGTACTAACGACGACCAGGAACAGAGGTCGGGACCGGACGAACAGAGCAAGAGCACGGCAGATGAAGCAGAAAACGAAGTTACTGAGGAAGACAACAAGGTGGCCGAAGCAGACGACAAGATCGTTGAAGCAGCAGACGACAATGTTGCTGGAGCAGATGGCATCAAAGATGACGTCCAAGGAGGTAATGCAAATGATGATGCAGCAACAGGCGATGAAAGCAATGATACATAAAATGGTTTTACTCTAACTCTTCACAGACAGCTGGCAAGCGGCTTTTAATGTTGCAAAAACTCTGACGTGGCAACCATGTTCGTTCATAGAGCAGCATCTCTGTATGGCCAAGTGGCATTTTAATGGGACACGAGCTTTGACCCAGTTCTCTTCTATTTAAATCTTGACGCAAGGGACATGCTACAAACATCTTCATTTTGTACATAAGCACATTGTACAACGTGTATTTGGCCTCGAGCAGAGGTTCTCGGTTACAATTGTTTTTAAGTTTGTTAGTGTTGCCAAATAAAGTTATGCAGTCAATCTCTGGAGATTTCAATCCAATATCCGTCTAAGGAATGCACCTGTGACTTGACCTTGAAACTGACATGTTTCGTTTTTGGTGGCTTACTGTAATTCTAGCTTGCTTCTGTGTCGTGCAAAGATTATAAAGCCTTACTTTTCAAATCTTGCATACTTAACAGCATAGCATGCTTGACAAACTTCCAAAGGACGGTTCACATATTTGTGTTTGAGTGTCGAGTGCGTTGTGCCCGCTGGCACAATCTGTTGGGTAGTCCACGAACAATTCCAATCTGCATAACTACACAAAGTTTTGTAGTATTAGCCAGATCCAATCTATGCACCACCAATGAGAAACGGTTGCTTGTTATGTCAAAATTATTTCGAGCCCACGGTGAAAGAATGACGCATAAAAAGTGAGGAAAAATCATACAAGCTTGATCATACTGACAGACTGGTAAGCACGGAATGTGCGATGGGCCTTCCAGGGAAGAATGGCGTCTAAGCAGCACTGCATACCAAAGATTCGCTCTCATTTCTGACGTGCGCCGTGAGATGGCGCTGCCTGACGGGAAAGCCGCGAAGCATGTCCCACGCCTTTGTGCGCCGTGCCAGAGTTAGTTTTTGCATGCTTCGACCGCCAACCCTGGATGGCTCGGTAAGCAAGGCACTTGGTTCACCATCTCAAGGTGGCCAGTTCACATCCTGCCGGGGACAGAAGTCTTTTTATATGGATCCCTCGGGGTGTAAAAATTCTGGGGTGTCAATTCTTCGTTGCAGCTGGCTGCTACATCTGGCTGTTGCAGCCAGCTGTTAATGCCAAACGATGCAGAACTCCATGAAAGTCAGCTGATAAAACACATTCTGTGTTAATATATACAGGGACTGGAAGTGTTCCAGGGCCACTTGATAGATGGTGGCAGTGTTTTCTCTCGTAAGCAGTCGAAAGGAGGCCAAATGCATTCAGTTGCAATCAAATGCAAATGTGTTAATCGGCTTTAACATTATCTGCCCAAAAGGCACGGCTTGAGCAATGTCCACAGCTCCTTGCCTGAATCACGCGTTGAAAGCTTCCGCCGTGCCGTCAATTTCCTGACGGTCACGGGACAACGTACGACGCGCTCTCACCAATTCTTAAGGATGTTTTCGTGACCTCGTCTGCTATTAAAATCTTTTCGCCGCACAACAGCGTGGCGGCACTCGGTCGGTTTCGTATCAACTTCTCTACCACAAACCGCAACCTTCTTGCTGCCTTCACCAAATAACTGTCAACTCTGGAGCCAAAGTGCAAGATGTACAGTAAGCGAGTAGTGTATGGCAGCGCTGAACAAAGTGAATACGACAGTCACTCTCCGGATGAGAACAGGAGGACATCTCTTCCGGATGCCTGGTCCCCCCCTGCTCGAGCACGCGTATACAGCGTGGAGCAAAAGGATTGATGGCTGTTTGAAGGGACTGCATGAAGCAGTTTCTGAATGCATTGAGCCAAGATTATGTACGGAGGTGGCAGAAGGGTGTGCATAAAAATTTCAGAGAATGAACTTACCCAAGTAAAAAGTAAAAATGAAAACTTGGAATCCCTACCCACGGCTTCAGTCTCCTAAAAAAAGGCGTCCGATCGGCGCAACAGCCGACCGATGGTGGCATGCAAGACCGCATTCAGACACGACGGACGTTTTTCTCGACCTCGGCAATAGCAGATGTTTCTGAACCAGAAGCGACACACTCTTTCTGCACGTATTGTCAATGCACGACTAGTTTACTCAACCAATAAAAAATGGATAAAACGAGAAAAACAAAAACAGACATGTCTCGTTTCTTCAACAATTATTTTCAGCTGCATATTGCTTTGCACTCCATGGTTGTTGCTGCGTCTCTTTTCTTGTCCGCTTTCTTTTCTTGCCGTGCTCTTTTGGGGGGGAGGGGGGAAGTCGTTTTCCCGGTGCGCTTATCTCCCAACAAGCGAGTAAAGGTTGTTCTCTGTTACGGGGAGTGCCAGAGGACAAAAGAGGTCCACCGACGTTTTCTGTGGTGACCTCCGGCCTCCCCTCCGATTCTATGCTGGGTAAGGTGCTTCACTGAGGAGGGAAATCTTTGAAACAATCCACTGACAACTGGCATCGTCACCAAAGCTGACGCTGAAAAGTATGGTACTTGGTCCCTCCGCCGCCCAACCACCTCCTGTCGACTCGGAGAGCCGAAAGCTCCCAGATAAGAAAGCCTAAGTGCTCAGTTTTCGTGCGTCACTAAGGAGGGCCACCGAAGGACAGAGATTGGACACGACTATGGTATGGTGGCTACAGGGGTAGGTGTACTGAGCGCTCTGCATTCCTGGGTAGTTCCATGCACCGCCGCTTCACGACAACAAAATTGGCACTGCAGCCAGGTTACCAGTGGATTCTCAATCAACTAAGTGGCACGGAGAAGCCAAAACTCTGCGCGCAAGACCTGTCGTGCACGCGCGTTCCTGCAATACAAGCACTGTTCAGAACGACTGCCTCGCGCTTGCAGCTTCCGCAGCGTATCGTGCGCGAGGCGTTCTGGAACGCGATACGGAATAAATGTCACTTGTGTGTACTTGTGTTCTTCTTTTTCTCGGACTGCTGCTTTGTTCTTAAGTACGCATAAATAGCTCATTTATAGTCGCGAAAATGTGAAGTCTCGTCAGTACTTTTCGGCTACGATTTGTGGCGATTCCTGTGGTCTCCCTTCCCCGATGGCTTAGATAGCTCATTTATAGTCGCAAAAATGTGAAGAGTCTTGTCGGTACATTTCGGCTACGATTTGTGGGGATTCCTGTGGTCTCCCTTCCCCGATGGTTGTGATATAAGCCGTGGGTCGGAACACTCTGCCGCCTTTGCCGTGAGCTTCGACCTGTTTGTGAAGAGGAGGGTTCCCTGTCTTGGAGCACTCTCCTCTCACTCTCTCCTGGGGGGACTTCTTTCCATCCCCCCGCTTGGACGCGGACCACTGCTGACAGGCAAAGAGGTTTCGCCTCTTGTTTTACCGCTTTGGGGAAAGCGATTCCTCCCGCAGATGCGATAGAGATTGGACGTGTCGCGAAGGACCTCCTTTGCCCGCTCTGGACCGCGCTCTCGGGACGGTGTTGACAGGGTGAGCCTTTCATCTGACCTTGTCGGCGCAGGGGTTTTGGGACAGTGTGTCCTTGGTGTTCCAATAAACACCATTGGACCCCGTCCTATTGTGGTACATGCTCCTCCTTTTTTAGAGAAGTGATCAGTTGTGCGGCTGACGTTCGGACCCGCCCGTAGTGGTGCTCTCGAGAGAAAGCTGCGGGGTGTGGGAGTAGGCTTGGCGTCTCCCGATTAGAGACCGCCGCCGAACCCATCAGTTACCACCACCCGTGACCATCCCACATAAAATGGCGCCCAACGTGGGGCCACGGCTTCCTTTATCGTGGTCGTGGCTCCTGGCCTCAATCCCTTTGTCCAGCCTATTTGCCGACCATCCTAGCCTTTGATCACCCCGTATGACCAGCGTCCTGATCTTGCCACTTATGGTCGAGCGATTAATGCCGAGTCGGCAACCCGCTGTGCCGCTCCTTTGAGCGAGCACAGTGCGATTCGTACGCGTGTTCCTGTTTTTAATTGGCGTGCGTCAAGCAACATTCGTTGTTGCGGGAGGTTCTTTGTTCTCCATGCTTGAGGCGAATCTTTCACATTTGTGTATTTGGGTTCCTAGCGCGCCACATACAACTTGTCCTGAAAGGAAAATGTATATAGAAGTTTTGATGATGTTTTTGAGAACCGGGTGGACTTTTATGTCCGGCGTGGAATGAGGTTTGGTAGCGAAGGATAAGCAGTACAATCTGGGAATGTAAATATTCATGTTTTCTTTGACTCTGAGTAGTCGCGGACACTCATTTAGAGTCTGATGGTACACCTGCCAATAACGTCGACAAGTAGCTGGTACCGCTACTGACGGGCTCCAAAAGCCGGGCCGTGTAACTGTCGGCATCGAGAAGCAGTTTGCATACTGTTCACGCACGCGCTGTATTCACTGCTGGTATTGCAGTGGGCGCGGAGGGTTTTCTTCGGGGAAGATTCGCATCTGCTTGATGGCAACATACTCCTGCAGCCTGTTGTTGTTTTCCAAGAACAACACAAGTTTTGAGTTTATGGTGGTGGTGCTACGCGGTCTGAGGCGCACTGTGACAGTATCTGGGTGGACGAGCGACTCTAAGACGTTCGAAGGTTATGTTGCTCTGAAACCCGGGTGCCATGTAGCCAGAGCGCCCTTTGGCGATATTTGTCAGACTCGCGTGATCCAGGTGGAAGAGTGACTCTAGCCGCTCATTCACACTGGAACCAGATCCGCGTTCGCAAAGCGGTTGCGAACGCGGTTGTATAAAGATCCAGTACAATTGCACGCGCACTTGATGTAACCGAGTGCGCGTGCAATCGTACTGGATCTTTATACAACCGCGTTTGCAACCGCTTTGCAAACGCGGATCTGCTTCCAGTGTGAATGAGCGGTAAGACTCTCAGCAGTTACGTTGCTCTGAAATCTGGCCTTGCCTCAAAAGAAGGGGGCCTGGGCCAGTGAGCGTTGGTTGCACGCATGCAACCGACATTCTCAAGTGTTTGGGACTGGAACTTTTCTTTTCTTCGGCCTGGTGCGCAAGCTGTTGACGGCAGACACTGTGAAGACGCGCGCTGGGTTTCGTGTGTATTTGTTGAGGGTGCGCAGAAAGATATATTATTTTATGAGAGCAGGTGGGCCTCCTTTATTTTTTATTGAGAGCCACCTACCGTTTTAAGGAGGGGGGAATGTGGGGATTCCTGTGGTATCCCTTCCCTAATGGCTGTGATAACGGCCACGGGTCGGAACGCTTGGCCGCCTTCGCTGTGAGCTTCAACCTGTTCGTGAAGCGGAGGGGTCTTTGTCTTGGAGCTCTCTCCCGGAGGGACCTCTTTCCGTCCCCCCTGCTCGGACGCGGACCACTGCTGACAGGCGAGGAGGCTTCGCCTCTTGTTTTCCTGCTTTCGGCAAAAGGACTCGTCCGGTGACCGCGAAAGACATAGGACGTGTGTCGGCAACTTCTTCGACGCTTCCCCCATCTTGGCTCTCCGGAACCCCACGCCTGGCAGGTAAGGACCTTTTCTTACCTTGCCGACGCGGGGGGGGGGGGGGGGGGGGGGGGCATTTTGGATTGGGACATAGTAGTTCTTTTAGAAGAGTGTTATAACAAATGCTCTTGGACTCTGTCTTTACTCTGGTATGTGTGTCTTCTTTTCCGCTATATTCGAGAAAGTGAGACATGGTAGTTGATCATTGGCCCCGACGGAAGCAATTAATCGAACCGACCTGTGGTAATGCAGCCCTAAATGTTGTCTGTATTGCCGCGGAGTTGTGGGGACTGCGCTACTAGGTTTGACGTCTCCTTTGAGATATCCACCGCTGTTAAGATAACCCTTTGGTTACTCTATCGGTACCTGTGTTGGTAGCAAAAGCCCACAGATTATAGATGAAGATCAAGAAGGACACCACCTGCTTTGCGCCCCTCTGCAAGACAGGCTACAAGTCCGCAAGACAAGGATCGAGAGTGTCATTATTTTCTGCGTCCAAAAATCCTGAACTTTTTCTAAAATCGAAGATTATGCATCAACAGGGGGACAAAGAACTTCAGCCCCAGTCAGTGATTTATACTTTGAAAAAAAATTCATTGTGCGGCATTTCACCCACGTCATCAACAAAGAGGTAATCCAACTCGCGAGAGATTGTTTTTGCTTAACGAGGATGCTGTGTCCTCCATCCTGCCCGGACGCCCCTGCGTACCTTTATTTTTATTTTACATTTTATGTTTACACCAACCTTCAAACTTTAGTACATTAACGGGAATGATTAATTACGTCTTTGAGTAAAATACCAACTTTCTGCACGCAAGAGCAAATTTTTATAGCCGCGGAACCGCAGTGCTTTCCCACCGCACCTGCAAAAAGAAAACGGGACTCTTGCGCGAGCGCCATTGAACGGCGTCATGAATGAGTAGCTTGCATTTGATTTTCTGCTCGATGCACCTACCCCTATAACCACCATAACTACAGTGTCAGCATTCAGCTAGGAATCATGTTCTCACTGCGTCGTCGTGTCCAATCGCTGGCAAACGATGGCCTTTTTTAGTGACGCAGGATAATGCAGCACCTAGGTTTTCTTATCTAGGAAGTGTTGGGAGAGCACTGCCTCCATCTGTGAGCTGCTACGCCAATGAGACACCTTTTTTTTTTTTTGAGCAGACGCACGCTGTTGGTAAAAAATTAAAGTTTTTGATTTTCAATTTTTTTTTTTTCGGGTAAGTTAGTTCAGTTAAATTTTTATAACCTTAAAGGGCAGAGTGGGTTGATCAGGAAAGGAAAAAAACACATTAGTTGCCACGGGCAAGAGGGAGAAAAAGTTTCCCCTGCGGGACGTCTACGCGACTTCGAGGAGGAGAACACAACAAAAGCGATTGCGTCTTGTCCTTTTCTAGGATTCCTAAAAAGCGATAAGCCCCCTATCCTGCACCCATACAAGGTTTGTGAGGAGGGTGGCCCGCCTTCCCCTGATAGGGTACAGCAGAATTCGGGCCGGCATCCTGGCGGCAGTATAAGAACACTCCCCAAAACGAAACTAGTCACTGTAAGCATTGTAGACCATTTTGCGGGTTGGATTAGACCACCCTTTATGGACGTTCTTCGGCCACCTTGGTGCGAAATCTTGGCTCGATATGTTCAGAAACTGATTTTTGCGGTCCCTTCAAACCAACATTACCAAATCAGAGTCAGTTAACAAGCTTCCTAGAATGCCTGGTGCCTTTTCGTGGTGCGTGCGCTCAGTGGCGCTCGCTACACTATTGGCCCACCATATCGACAGACATGGTGGAACTGGTGGAACGTGGGATGCACACTACCTGCAGTGGAAAGTAATTTTATCATGGCTTTTAATGGTACACATAGGGTATTCGCAAAAGTCGGTGCAAAAAAAGCGTCGTTCAAAAACGGTCCTTCTCCATTGACCGTGGAAGCGTCGAAGCTGGTGGCGCTTGGCGCTTGGAATGCTATCCGCCCGTACCTGCTTGCACGCAGGCAACAGAAAAGAATGGTTTTTGAATGGCACTCTTTTATGGAGCTCGTCAACTGGCAGACTAAAGAATGTTGTTTCAAACAGCCATCGATCCTTTGCTTCAGTCTGTAGATCCAATGTTGCATTGCATATGCTCCCATACAGCTGAGACGCTAGATGCAGCCTAGCTCATGCACGTACCGGTAGCTGTGACAGCGTTGTGCACGGTGTGCGAGACTGAGTGGAAGCATGAATGATTATACCGCGTAAAATCAGCCTCTACAAGAGAGGCATCTTTAGTTTCTGATGCAGAGGTGCCAATTTATTAAGGGCTGTACGTCTGCCGATGTGGGACCCACTAAAAAGACAGAAAACTTGTATCTCTTTTTTTTTTTGTAGGCTACCAAATAAGACTGTCACAAAAAAAAAAAATATCCATGTTTTTTAATTGCTCAAATGGATCTGGGGTCATCCTGTCGAATTGTATGTGTCTTATGCAAGCACTTCAAAAATGTTTTTGGTAGGTCAGTATCCCCTTAACGTAAAGAAGGCAGCGATGTCCACTCTTGCCTCTTTCGGTACGAGCGCCAAACTTTACGACGGACTATAGCCTGTTGCAGGTTTAGAATAGCGGAACATGCACCTCACACATAGCCTTCTGCTCGTCCCGATTGGTGGATTCCTCTTCTCCACTCTAACCAGCGTCCAATCTGCTACGGTAAATGGCTCTAGTAATCAATGTAGGGAACGTAGCCTTAATCGTGGATGCTCTGAAGTCGCACAACAAACCATACTCACGCTTATAAAATTCGGCGAGGAAAGAGACGTTTGGCAGGAGACGGTGAGCCTTGGACAGCACTGTGGATCCCTCACTGAGCCGCGAGTCCACGTTCCAGATCTGCAGGATGTCGTCTTTGTCTCGCACGCACACGGACACCCCGCACACCTCGTCCCCTGCAAATCGGAGACCGTTTTCGTCATGCTCCGGAGCCGTTCAGTCCCAAAGTTTTCGCTTTAACAAATAAAAAAGAGATCCGAAGCAACAGTGAAGTGACATCACCTCTGTCCCCAAAGAGCGTGGAGTTAATATGATATTCTAGAGGCCACTTTGGACTGGCGGGGCAGCCGCGGACGTCGGAGGTCCAGTTGAGCTTGAATCACTGGCGACGCTTTCATATACGCAGAAGAGCAGAAAAGCATCGCTCGCAAGCCCATATTTGAGCGTTTTTCTAGCTTCGTTCAGTTCAGAAACACCGGCATTGCGCATCGAGTAAAAATAAAATTGAGTTTGCGAGCACCCTAACAATTAACTTCAAGTCGTCGGGCAAAATAAACGGGCCAACCTATTGTCTGCTTTCTTTCTCTGCTCTTCTGTTGCTCTCTCTCTCTCGGGATCACTGACGTCGGCACTCGACATTTGCTGTGTTCTGCTCCCGTCTTCACACCCCCGCTGAACACCCACCACACTAAAGTCATTACCGTATGTTGCGTGTGCGTTCTGGCCGTGGGAAGGTAGTCAGCCCCAATGGGCGTCTGGTGTCTCGGCTGGAGCCAAGAGCCAATGCACTACGACCACTAGCCTGGGGTCTTTGACGTGCCCCGGGCAGTAAAGATATATGACTGCAGGCCGGTAAGACTCTTTTCCAGGTCAACACGGGTGGGGCTGGGAATCGGATCCCTGGGTTCTGCGGCGCAATCTTTAGCTCCACGCGTTCCGAGCTGTGGTGCACCGACGCGCTTGTCCACCAATCCGATCCATCCCCCCCCCCTCCCTTTGCAACCACTACACAAAAACGCTTAGTTTGCAAGACTGCTTACAAGCAGGATTTCGAGCTTCTGAGATTTGCCTGTTTTTGAATTCAAGAATGCTCTTTGTAAATTTTAATTTTTTTGTTTCTTCTAATTTTGGGGCGTTTTTTGCGGGTTTTGATTTTAGATTTGGGGTTTGTTAATTCGGGGGTGTTTTTTGCAGGGTTTAATCCACAGGTTCAGCTTTCTTAAAATTTGGGGGTGATTTTCGCAAAATTTTTTCTATAGAGTTTCTTTTTTTTTTTTTTAATTTGGGGTGTTTTTGTGTTGTTTTTTTTTTTCCACAGATTCGGGTGTTTTTTGCAAGGTCTTTTTCACAAATACGGGGTTTCTTAAATTTTGGGTTGTTTTTTGCTGTTTTTTTTTTTTCCACAGATTGTTTGGGCGACTATTTCCAAGGAAAAATCGGGGCTTACAACAAAGAAGGAAAAGCACGGCCCTGGGATTCCCTGGGGAGCTTGTGCACGACTGCAGTACACTGAAAACACCTCCGTACCTATACGTGAAGGAAATGCGGTTGCTTTTTCCCGAGGAAAGAAACGACCTTGTGGACAGTTCAGTGCGAGCTGTATTCTGGAGGAACACAAAGATGTCGGTGAAGACTTCTTTCCGCAAAGCTTGGGCTCTTCTCATTTCAGGGCAGCTGCAATTTGGGAATTACCTTTCAGGACTTATCCGTACATACCAAATACGCTGAAGCCCATTTGTGAGATGTTGTTAATGCATAGGTCTTCCAGAGACACCTAAACATTTATGGGCACCAACAGCATTACGGAAACAGGTAGGACCCCTCAGCTTTTGTACGGGGTGTTTACGAGTGCTCTTCAGGCATAAAGAAATTAGTACGAGTAAGTCAAGGAATGGAATATACAAGAAAAGTTTTCACAGTGGTGTCCTTAGGTGGTGCACTTATCATAGATGCTTTACAGACGTGCCACATTATAGCTGCCATTGCCGGCCTTCTCTTGTCCTATCCAGGAGTCGAGACAGTGAAGCGGGCATTGATGTGCTTCCACAAATGCCAATGCAGGGGACAAGCACACATTAGAATCTAAAATGGCAATAACTCTTTCTGATGTGGTCATGATGAAGTGAAGTAAACATAACAAGAAATAAAAATTGAAGGTCAGTTATGGTGGCCTCCATACACAGCTGCTGCAAAGCGTCTATACTAAAATTAAATAAATGTGAATTCCCCCCCCCCCCCCCCACAAAAAAAAAAAAAAAATTGGGGCCAAAAAATTTTGTTATTTTTATGGACAGGGAGGAAAACGGAAACAAACCATCTCGTTTAAGCTGCTACTCACGGATGATACCGCACACGCTTGGACCTGCTGAATCTGCTTTTGGGTGCTCATCTCAAGAGAGGCTTTCAAGATTTTGTTTTACGTTGTGCCATCTGTGGGTAGCAGTGTCAACCAGACACGGTTGTGTTTTCGTTTTCCCCCCTCCCCGTATAAGAATAACCAGATTTGTCCAGATTAAATTTTTTCTCCAGAAACCTACATTTGTGAAATTTGAGCATGAAATCTGTTCCATTTAGAGATACCCTCGTTCAAAGTTTTATTACAGTCTGTCTATCGTTCAATGTTTTGACACCCAAACAGTGCTTAGAGACACCCTGTACGTCTAACCCGTGCCCTTTGTAGTGTCACCCCGTCTCCACGATAGTCAGCAACGAGTCAAGAATTGAGGAGAAGCTCCATCCACAGGGCATCAATTGCCTGCTTCGAGTCCTTATGCCGTAAAGAAAAACAGAGCATAACCCACTCTGCAACATTGGCTTTGTGCGGAAAAAAGCTCTCTGCAGAGCGGGCAAGATGGCCTCACCACGTAGTGGCACGACATCACACAACGCGGAAAAAAGGGTAGAGATTTTCTACCTTAACAAGATGTGGGTCCTTGTGGGATGAGGCAATGACTGCTTACCTGGGGTCCGATTTTGGTCACTGCGAGAGTAGGGGCGAGATCTCACTTGCTTATTGACGATTGAGCCAAAATAGCGTTTGCAGACGGTTTGTTTGCTAACGTAAGCGAAGAGTGTGGTTTGCCTCCGACAAAGTGTTATTTGCAGACGAAAATGAAACAACAATAAACTATGTGTCGTCCGTTAAAAAAACAAAAAAAAAAAAAAGGTGGATCCTTTGCTACAAAGTTAGTGCCTTCGTGAAGGAAGATCGGAAGCAGGCTGGAATTGTGATCGTCTGCTATTTCCCATTCAAAGCCACTGATGACTTGCGCTTCTTTTGCAAATCTTGAAGGGGGCCCCAACGACTTTTAACTGGTTTTCAATTTGCACCGAACCTAAGCGCACTGAACATAGTGACTTAGTGAAACTTTTCTTTTCTTGAAATTTACTTTATTTTAGGCGTTATAGGCAAATTAATATTACAAAAGAACAAGCAAAAAATAATCTCTTTCATGACTTCCCTGGTCCTGACTTGGGTGGCCAATGGTAGAAGTGAAGCAACTGGCCAATCGGCTACGGCTTACATTGATGGCTGCTTTCCCTGCAGCCTAGTGCGCGTCAACAACTTGTTGCTTGCTTCAACCCTCCACCGCGCTTGCGGCATGAATTTATAGAGTCTGTCGGAGTTGGAGCTCCAAATCCTCAGCAGAAGTGCAGAGCTCGGAGGACACTCCTCGTAAGCGTCCGGAGCGCGCTGGCGAGGCCTCTCGGTCCCAACTTGACGACGCTCATGCAGTTCAAGTTCCAGACAAGTCCGAGCGAGTCTCCTGTGGTCTCGCGAGGAGACAAATTCATACTTTCGCTTCTTGCAAAATGTGCCGCCGGCGTCGTATATCATCTGCTAGGATCTGCGGGGCATGACATCCAAGATCTCCAAGTGAGCGCGCTTCGGAATCATACGAGGGGCGCCTGCACCGCCTCTTCCACCGCTTGGTGGCGGGTATGTCGAACGGTAATTTTTTTATTTCCGCACTTTCTACACTGCATTTGTTTCTTTTTTCATCTAAAATACCGGAAAAAAACTACTTTCATATATAACTGAAACAGTTTGCGCCACTTATATTTTAGTATTTCAACTAAACAAAAGTTTTTAGTGGCTTTGGACCAGTCATAAGGCAGGAGCTGACCAGGACCGACAACATCATGATTTTGTCACATGCCGCGCACGTTCAGCACCACGGGGCACCCCCGTAGGAGGAGGAGGTTTCCGCTTCATCTGGTTAAAGTATAACACACAGATATTACATTACTGTCTCCGTGCATGCTAGATTGCCCGAAACACAAGAGATGTGGAAACCGCAAAAATGTAGATGCTTAAATAGAATCGCAGGGCCCCTTTAAGCTGTGCTACTCCTGTCACGCAAGCCGACATCGGACAGCAATTGAAAGAGTACTCTGGACAAACACATCAGAGGCAGGGATGGGCAGTATTTCAAATACAAGTATTTGCAATACGTATTTCAAATAATTTGTGTATTTTGCATTTGTATTTAATTACAAAGTGGGTAATGTATTTGGTGTGTGTATTTAAAGACTAAAACGTGGGTATTTCAAATATATTTGTAATTAAATACAAGTTTGTGGGTGAAAATACATCCCTCAAATTCATTGTCACTGTCCAGACCAGGAAGAAGACTACGTTCTGCGCTGAATGCAGTGTCTCTTAATCAAGTACAAGCGTTTAGTGACTTTGTGATTAAGGTGCTAGTCCAGGGCAAAAATAGTGACAAAATCGACGTTCACGGGCAGACTGACTAAACAAGTGCCTGTGACAACTTGTGATGCTTTCCAGCCTGATTTCCATCCATATTTTTGCCTGGAACATCCTGAATGCGCGGGTCGCCTAGATTTTCGTAACTGGTACGAGTTACAACAACAAAAATTCTCTAGTGCTGCGCGTCTTGGTCGTCTCGGTTCTTTGTTGGTCTATACCAAAATGTAATCGACAAAAAAAGCTGCTTGGAGCTCTGTACTTCTTTCCCTTATTACATCCAAGCTGATTACATTTTTTTTTGTGCTTATATTTCTATTATGTTACTAGTGCCCAACTCAAACTATCAAGTGTGCGATGAAAAATTAAAAGGAGATACCCAGAAAGCTGTTGCAGGTGCCCTGAAGTCGCTGACGCAAATTTTGAGGAATGTATTTGGAGAAGTATTTGGAGGAGACCAAATACATTTGGTTGTATTTGTATCTTGTACTTAAATGCTTTTTTGGAAATGTAATTAGATTTGTAATTAAATACATTTTTGACGAAGTAATTTTTATTTGTATTTCGATACATATGTGCATGTATTTTGCCCATCCCTGATCAGAGGCCATGAGACCTCTCTCGCCATTTGTCTGTTTGTGAGATGTTCTCGCCAAACCACTGCCCAGTCTTGAGCTCGCAAACGGGTAAAACATTTTCCATTGGCCGATTACGGTTGCTTAGCGTAAAGCTGTGATGCCACGTCCAATCAGAAGCAGAGGATGCTCTTGCTCTCTCCTTGGCCAAAATCACAGCTCTGGCTTACTGCACATATGGTTGCAACAAGGAGACTAGGCATGCACACTACGTTTCACAGGTCAATCAATATTGCTTTGAAAACATTATTTAAGTAGGAAGGCTTTGTGTACGTGTTCAAGTCCAGCTTGGCAGTGGTAGTGTTGCTGGAACACATCTCGTGCAGCAAAAATTTTTTTTGGTGACGGCCACAGAATTTTTTTTGTTGCCACTCAGAAATTCTTGCGTAAAACAAGCAGGCACCGCCATGCTTTTGCACCATAACTGAGGTACAGGCCAACAGTAAACAAACGAAGGGAAGCAGACGGCATGAGGAAAACTACCTCAGTAACAGCTGGACCATGAGCACTTCGGTGGCGACCCAGTCGTTCGATTCACACACCGTTGCACAGAAACCAGTGCGAACCGAAGTAAATACTGGTACGACTTAGTGACGCAAAGGGGGGCAGAAAAACAGCAGAAAAAGCACTACGAAACGTTGCCGTTTGTCGGTGTCGCTCGTCGGTAGCGGGGTGCACTGCCATATTAAAAACACTTGTTTCTAATGATGCAACATCAGAGACATGATGAAAACAAGCAGAAGTGACAAAGTGATTAGTTGGCGAGTGATATGAATCCTTTGGGGAGGGGTGGGCATTTGTCGCTGAATGGTGAGCTTGTCACCGACTACAGATTTATTTGTCGACTTACCCAACATTGTGCTGTTGGATAATTATTTCAATGCTACTTAATGCAAAGAAAGGCTAGACGATATCTATGACGTCCACCAAGCAGCCCCGATTTAAACTACTAGCAAAAGATTTACTGGCAGACTTCATTCGAAGGTCCCCTCCCCCGGATGGCTAGATCAAAATTACCAGTCTTGAGCGACGGTTTAGAAAAGCACTAAACCGGCCTGCTAACGTCCTTCTGTCCCCTTACCTTGCGCCACATCCTCTGTAAACTGCTCCCCAATGGCAGCCAGTAGCAACTCCTTCCACACCAGGGGCTGCAAAGCAATTATTCGTGCATTTGCAAAACCACAGTTGGCTTTTCTTGCTATAGTCCGGTACCGCGATTCGTTACCGGCATGCATGCAGGCTGTTTCCGAACGCTATTCAAGCGCGAAAAAAGCAATGTATAAATAAGCCAAAGAATTCACACGAATGAAACTTTTCACAAAGTTGTCTTTTCAGGTGGTGCATTTGTCAAAGTCGAATTTCATTAATGTAGGTTTAAGAAAACAAACTTAAGAAAAAGGCAAGCGTGTTATCTGTGTGTGAGGGAAGGAAAACGGAAACAAACCGTCTACTACATACGCTTGGAGCTGGTTTTAGGTGCTAACCTCAAAGAGGCTTTCAAGTTTTTGTTTCGTGTTGCGCTACCAGTGAGGAGCGGCATCAACCAGATGGTTTGTTTTCGTTTTCCTCCCCGTGTTGCACGTAGTAATAGCAGAATATTTTTGACTGCTTTCATTTTTTGGGGAGAAATCCACACTTACAAAATTTGAGCATGATAAATGCACAACAGATGAAACACTTCTTTGAAAAAATAAGATAGAGGTTGATTCTAGCATAGTTTTATCCTGTCAATCTGAATATCACGTTCGTTTTCCTCAAAGGTGTGCAACTACACGCTAGAAAACACGAAAAACCTCCTAACAGTCATCCCGTCGTAAGAGGATCTTTTGGAGGCCAAACGTGTGTCGCTCGTGTGGGCAGCGTGTGTAATTGCAAGCTTGCCAGGTACATTCCCCTGCACCGACGCCAGTCATGACAACTTTTTTTTTACCTTTTGTGAAAATAGCAAGAATGCACGTGTGTAGCTTTGATAGGCGCTGAAGATACGAGAGAGCGGAGATTCCGAAATCTCCTGATATGACGTCGCGTTCCGGGAAGGGGGGGCTTTGGCAGTACTTTGAAAATAATTTTCTCCAGCCTCCATGCTCCAATTTGTAAAATAATCTCGATATTCGTGATTCTGGAGGGTAAATGAAGACGACTTAAGTGCTTTTCCTCAAATACAGAACCGCTCCAGTTTTCCTTTAAAGGCACCTTTGCAAAAAGTTTCATTACCTCCATTCACTGTCTTAGTTATACGCAGGGTTCTGTATCTTTGGATAAATCCGAAAAACATTCACCGGTACATTTTCCATCAATTCAGATTCATCTGAAAAACTCTGAATTTCAAAACCATAGCGTTTTACAACTAAACTTTATAAGAGCACAAGGTCAGTGGTCCAGAGGAGATTCCACTTCAGTTTCCTTTGAAATTTCGAACTACTGACAAAAAGGGGTTTGCTTTTTAGCACGTCGAGGTTCCTTCAAGACAACGGGTCATGGTACCCAATCCTTATTTATTTTATTTTCGAATTCTTAAATTTTATGCGGTAAAATAAACACTGAATTTCAAAGAATTAGGGATCTAACAGAAATAAACTCCAACAAACCCTGAATCCCCAGCGAAAAATAAACTTAAAAAACTACCTTTGAATTTCAAGAAAAATAAACTCCGAAAACACGGAATCCTAGTTATACGTCGTTTTTTTATGCCCGAATAACGCTCAAACTGTCTTGTAGACTCATCGAAACTGGAACTGACCGAGTCCCTTTTGGAACACTTGACCCTCCAGGTACCGCCCCTCCGGTTACCGGCATCCTCCCAGAGAGGGCGCCGGTCGCCGCGCATCAAGTGGTACGTGTACCGCAGCTTCAGTTCCGCTACGTCTGGGATGTTGTTGAACACTGCCCAAAAACCCTGTGGCAAAAAAAAAAAAGACAACAACGAAAAACTAAGCAACTTACACTCGGCGAAAATACGAGCCGGTACAGGCAAGTCTTAGCTGAAGGGGGTAAACGTCCCAAAGAGTGCCTTCAGTATGCTAACTATGGACATCATTAAAGCCAAATCGGGAGGTTTTAGGCGCCAAACCAACAAAGAGCAACTGGTCCGCTTCAGTGGAGGACCGAGGATTAATTTGAACCACCGAGGATCTCTTCTGACGAGCAACCCAGATTGCTGTTACACAGCCCCTTATGCCCGCTAAGCTTCTGTCAGATTGTAAGGCAACTTGACTGGGATTCGAACCTACAACCTGCGGATCCATAGGCAGGTGCTTTGCCTCGGAGTTACGGACAATGTGGCAGTTCGTTACCCTCTCTTTTAACAGTGCGCCTGGGACACCCCAAAAGGGCATTTTACCCGCTCCGACCAAACCGCCGCTGTGCCAGCTCACACTGCCGCACCCTCTGCAGTTGGCAGACGCACAAGCTACCCGAAAAAAGAACGAAACGGAGCAGAGGAAATCCTGCATGGGGTGTTGCTGACCAATCATGTTATCGAAAGAGCAGACACGAGGCTTTTATTCGCATTCCGACTTTGTGAAGCATGAATCCGCATCGATTCCGATTTCACCGAATGCCAGCACTGAGTGTAGAAAGTGAATCTAAATTGTGCATTTTCGATGAGGTATCTGTGAAATGGGAGTCTTTATAGGCAGCTTTAATACTGTCCCGTGCGTGGTGGAGTTGGGAACATACGTGGCTGCCACGCAGAGGAACGGGGTTGGAACCATGCAGGGCCTTGTTTTTTGTTTTACGAATCTTCGTTCTTTTCTAAACCAGTCTCCTCTTTTTATTCGGAACAGTATCACGTGGCAATCTATGCCACCACCCGAAGGCAGCAGTTCTAACTGGCTATGCCGCAGATTCGCGCTTTAAAAAAAGCGGGAGTGCCAAGTGATCTCTACGTCCAATCACCCACCTCAACAACAAAATAGGTCAGTTCCAATGCGGGAAGCAAGTCGTCTGCTTCTTGCGCAGGAGTTGCAGTGACGTCAAAACAATGTCGAGTTCTGATTGGATTTGGTTGAAATGATAGTGGGTGGACCTCAACGCCAAATGCGTTAAACTCTACTCACTATTTTTTTTTCAACCAGCCAATTAAGAGATTGGCGTTCTGACATTAACCTAACCCAATTGCAAGAAGCAGACAAACTTGCCTCATGCAAAGATGCGACAAAGCTTAAGCCAATATTACTAGATTACGTCAGTTGTGGAACTCCCGTGGAAGGGGGTACCCCCCCTCACTCACTTCAATCCACCCTTCATTGTTCAAAGTGCTATCTAGATTTTCCTTTACGAACTGTGTGTTTTATAGAGTACGGTGGAACGCCATCTAGACGCTGCACTTTGAAATGTATGTATCCAATAGAATACACTGCTATAACCCAAGCAGCCATCTGGCGCGTTGAACGACGGAAGGCGAATCGTGGTGAGTGAGGGGGGGGTACTGCTCGTGCATGCAGGCGTCTATGAGCAGTTCCGTAACTGAGCTAATCTAGTAACGTTGGCTTAAGCGCCCTACGCATGGCCTCCTGTCCCTCACAGAAATCCTCCGACATTTCTTACACAATGTAAAAACGAAAAAAGAGAAGAAAAAATGAGTCAATTTATTTTTATAGTTGCTCTAAAGTGAAGGGCAGATAATAAAGAGCCCGCAATAAAATATTCCCTCCGTGTCCCTTACTTGCGAGAGAAGCGTTCGAAAGTCACACACACCTGAACTGTATTCACCGTGTATATTTTCTTCAGGTTGGCTTCGTACTGAGCAGCAGAGATGCCCCGACTCTCCGTCCTGACAATGCAGGGATCACGATTAGACAATAAATACACGCGTACAGTCACAAAACAGTCACACAACAAAAAGTTATGTTATCGGAACAGGCAGCGAAAACAATTAATAAACTGAAGTAACGCTCTCAGAATTCGGTATGAAAACAATATTTACTAGCGTTGTTTATCAGATAGAGTCCACTGATAATTTACTAATGTGCCGGTATTTAAATTTACTATTTTATTTGATCCGATACGAGTGCGAGCGAGATAGAGCAAGTCACGGGGTGTATCGTGCTACCAACTTCACCCCCCAAAAAAAGTAACACGCCGCGATTGACAGCTCGAAACTTTTACACGAACGCTTGAGTCGACTCAAACCGAGCCCGAGGGAAACGCTGCATTTCGAAGCCAGGCGAACAATCGCATTTTGTTTACGACTCGACGGAACCGCGCGTCGAATCGTCATAAATAAAGTCAGAAAAAGGTCAGGTGCGCCCGAGTCGACGGGACATGGCTCACTTGTCGACCCAAAAGGTCCACTTGGTCTGCAGAGGCACGGAGATTTCTTCGGCAAAGTCGACTTGAAGGTCGGCGAAGCCGTCGTGGTCCGTGTGGTTGATTTGAACCTGAGTCGCATCTTCAAACCCGTCGCCGTCCGAATCTGCCATCTTTGCGAGGGAGCGAGCGGAGGCAACGGAAGAGAGCGATGTGCCAAGCGCGCACAGGTGTCACGTGATCAAAACAAGCTGTTCGCTTGTTGTAAACAACGAACGTTCACCGCAACGCCAGCAACGCGCGATTCTCCGCGTGTTTCAACCCTCGCAACGCTCGCTACTGTGTTGGCACGAAATACACCGAACTTACGCATTACATAACTTAAGCGGTTAAAACTATTTCTGCGCCCAAGTCTTCCTAGTTGAGAAGAAATAGATATATAAGACCGATAAAGCGGATAAACAGAAAATCTAAACACCGAAACTACAGTCCGAAACTTGTTTTTCTCGCGCCATCCAAAGAATTCGGCCGTCAGGATCCCTTTCAATCCACCGGCATACACCGGCTAAAAAAATCGGTTTTGCATTGAGTACTGATTCCACTTTTGTTTCTAGTAGGGATGGGACGAATCTTTATCCGAATCGAGATTCGGAGCCGAGCCGAATCTGAAGATTTTGAAAGATTCGGAAGTGTAGCCGAATTTCAAGCGACTCGAAAAAAGTTCGAAAAGGATGGATGGGTGAATGGATGGATGTTAATGGCTATTCCCTTTGTAACGGGCGGTAGCTTGCGCCACCTAGCCTAAGTCTAAAAAGACAAAAACGTGATTCCTCCCGCCCTTTTAAGACCAATTTTTCTCCCCCTAACTATCACCAGGCAGTGTGGGATATCACCAGGATGACCTTCGGGGGATCGGGCAAAAAAACTAAAAAAACATCACCCCCCTGCCTCTTCCCCCCGGCGAGGGAGTCGCCAATTTTCCTCTGGTCAAACCTTTTCGGCGTTACCCCAGCACCGGACCCACTGGGAGACAGGGTTGAGACTTTGGGCCGGAGCCACGCGGGAGGGAGTCCCAATTTTCCTCTGTCCCGCCTGTTCCCAGCTGTGCTAGTTAGTTGTCCATCATTTAATTTTCCCTAGATAATTTCCACCAATCTTCTAATCGTCTCTTTGTCACTGTAATCTTTTTTCCTACCATCCCTCCATCGTCGCCAGTGAAACCCAGGGCCCCGGCCAAATCCGTTACCCCTTCAGGGAGGGCAGGACGAAGCCTCGTGCACTTCAAAACCAAGTGCTCCAGTGTCTCGCTATCATTATGGCAGGCGGCACATAATGTGTCGGTCTCCTGAAATTTAGCCCTATACGTCCTTGTCCTCAAAACTCCCGTTCTTGCCTCGAACAGCAAAGCACTTCCCAGTGAATTGTCGAATAGCTTTTCCTTTCTTATCTCCTGCTTTCGTGACCTGTACACTGCTAAAGCTGATTTCTCCTGCATTCTCCCCTCCCAAATTTTCCTCTCCGCCTCTTTCACCTTCTTTTTCACTGACGTAGTCTGTTCAGCCCCATCACCAGTGTGTAGATATTTAAATGTAAGCTTTCGGGTTCGGTTTGTCCATTTTGTGTTTAAACTTTTCATGTATAAATACTTGAATACCTTACGTGCCCACCGCGTATCCTCCATTTCAGTCAACCTTTGTTCAAATTTCAACTTACTAATTGCCTCCCTGCTCTCAAAAGACCACCATCCCATGTCCCCCTGTACTCCCTCATTTGGTGTTTTTCCATGTGCTCCCAGCGCCAATCTGCCTACGCTTCTTTGTCGAATTTCTAGCCCTGATTGAACCTCAGATTTCATGCACAGCACTGCATTGCCAAATGACAGTCCTGGCACCATCACTCCCTTCCATATACCTCTGACCACTTCATATCTGTTATAGTTCCATAGTGCCTTGAGCTTCATAATAGATGAATTTCTTTTCCCTTTTCTAATTGTATTCTCCTCGTGTTCCTCTAGATATTTCCTTCCTTCATTGAGCCAGACCCCTAGATATTTGTACTTTTCTACGTGTTCTATCACTGTGTCCTGTATCTCCAGGGGTCCCCCCTTCTCATCGTTGAAAACTATTATACCCGACTTGTCCCTACTGAATTTTAGTCCTAAACTGTCCCCTTCCCTGCTGCAAATCCTAATCAGTTCCTGTATTGTCTCACGGCTTTCTGATACGAGTACAATGTCGTCTGCATACATTAACCCTGGCAATAGTTGATTTACCTTATGTCCTTCCTCCATGTAATTCAGGTCAAAACCTAGGTTGCACTGTTCTAATCTTTTTTCCATCTCACTGAGGTATATCATAAAGAGCAGGGGAGACAATGGGCAACCCTGTCTAAGTCCTCTTTTTATTGCTGCTGGTTTTGTAGTTTCGGCTTCCCATTTTATAATCACCCTATTCTCCGTATAAACCCGTTCTAGGAACCTAACCATGGTTCCCCCTAGGCCATACCCTTTTAGCTGTTCCCAAAGTTTTTCCTGATTCACATTGTCATATGCCCCTTTGATGTCCAAAAATGCTACCCATAATGGCCTTTGGCTTGTCATTGCTATCTCTATGCACTGAGTGATTATGAACAAGTTATCATCTAATCGTCTATCCATCCTGAAACCGTTTTGGAGCTCCCCCAGAATCTGCTTTCTCTCTGCCCATTCTTCCATTCTTCTTTTTACGATTTGCATAGCTAGTCTGTATATTACTGCAGTTACTGTGATTGGTCGGTATGATTTGATACTGTCTTTGTTTCCCCTGCCCTTATATAATAATCTCATCCTGCTCAATTTCCAGTCACTGGGTACCTCCCCTCCCATAAGTATCTGGTCAATCACCTGCCTTAGTTTCAATTTGCTTGTTTGGCCTAGAACTTTTATCAGTCTCATTGGTATGCCGTCTGGACCTGTCGCAGTTCCAGCCGGAACCCTTCCTTCTGCTTTCTCCCATTCTCCTATGGTCATTTCCTCTCCTTCACTATGATCCTCCTCTTGTGTTGTGTAGATGCTATTATTCCCTATGGCCTGATCTGATTCTAGCTCTGAAAATGCTGCTTCGATTGTATGTCTAATGTATTCCCTTGCCTCTTCCCCCTCTACCTTTGTCCCTTCCTGTGTGATTAGTGTCTGCTGGTACCCCTCAGTCTTTTTTCCCTGCGCACTGATGTGTTCCCAGAACCTTTTTGCCGCATTCCTATCCTTTTGGTTTATCTCTATCATCCACTGGACCCCTGCCCTCCCAATTTTGGCCTGTATTAATGCTGATGCCTCCCGCTTTCGTTCCTGAAAGTCCTCCCATTTTGCTGTCACTTCGGCTGGAGTGGCCCCCTTTTTTTTTGCCCATCTGTGTTCTCTAGATGCCGCTTGGCGTCTCGATATTGCTGCCTTAACCTCTTTATCCCACCAGCTTTTGAGCTTGCGTTTATGTTTCCTTCCTCCTTGTCTGGTTCGATATTTCTCTAATCCTCTTTTGAAAACAGTAACTAAGTCTTCATATGTCCATTCTCTTTCCGGTAGCTTGGATACTATGTTCTCGATCCACTTAGATACCTCCTGTAATTGTTTATCATTTAAGTTATTTCTACCCTCTTGTTTTTGATTTTGCGTTTCTGATTTTACTGTACCAAATCTGATCTTGATTCTCTTATGGTCGCTCCCCAGACTTTTTGTGCTTTCCTCATCTATTTCCATACCTCCAAGTCTGTTGTATATCTTCCGTGACATTAAACAGTAGTCGATAGTCGAGTGTGAGTTCTTTCTCTCCCATGTTATTTTTCCATCACATTTTACCTGGGCGTTAACCAATACCAGATCAAGAGCTTCACAGAACTCCTCTAACATCCTCCCTGTTGTATCCGTATGTCCATCAAAGTCTTCCAAATGTGCATTCATGTCCCCCAGGATAATTATTTCCTTGTTAGTGCCGATTTCCCTAACGTCTCCTGATATGCATGTTAAGTGTTCTGCGTTTTCCTCCCCTGCATCACTCCCTGTTTTTAGATACACAAAACCCAGGATTGTGTCTAAACCTCCAATATTGCCTTTGATCCACATGTGTTCCCTGCAGTTCTCTCGTTCCCTTTCCCATTCCTGACCCTTCACTAAAATCCCTAATCCGCCTCCCTTGCGTTCCCCGTTGGCCCGGTTGCATCCCATCCAATGATATCCCGGTATGTGTGGTGGTTCTTCCAAATCCCTCAGATGTGTTTCTGCTAATCCATACACTGCAAAGTTTTCGCTTTCTAATTGCTCCTCAATCTCCTCCCACTTTATTCTGTTCCTGCCCCCCTGCATATTTATGAAAGCTATGTTAAGTAGCTTCTTCTTCCTGTTTCTGCGTGGCTTCCTCCCACCCTCCCTGGCCACCTCCCCCAAACCCACATCGCCGCTCTCCTCTACCCCTTTGCCCTCCGGTGTCCCTCTGATGTGCCCACCCCACCTCCCCTCTCCTACGGGCCCTTCGCCTCGTTCTGGCAAGATTCTTCGCCCTTAGAGCTTTGGGGCCTCCTAAAAAAGCCACCGCCTTCCCTGCCATCCGCCACCCAACGGCCCTCCCCACGTAGGGGCTGAAATGGATACCGGTCCCCTCGAAAGCCTTCGCTCTGTTATTACGCACCTCCCAATTCATGTCCATCACCCCGAAACCCATCTCCCTTCCCAGTCTCCTGATGTCTCGGTTTGCGGCCACCACGGCTCTCTCGATGTGAACGCCCTGCCCCCTCACCTCTGGCACTGTGCAGACATGGATTTCTACATTGTCTGATGTCGCCCTCAACTCCCTCACTCCCCTGCGCAACTGCTTCCCCACCCCTCCCCCGTTCCCTCGTAATACATCGTTCAGTCCCTCCGCTATCACCACAAGGTTTTGGCCTTCTTTTGTCTCCCGGATTCGGAGCGTTTCCATGGTTGCCAGATCATGTTTATGAGTGTTTCAACTTTTTGTGATATTAAATTCGCCAAGTTCACCAAGGTGCACGAAATAATATTGTAATCAAAGCAATAAAAAATTTTCATCTTTTTTATATTATTTTGGATGTTTATAGAGAACGGTAGCCAGACAACGCGGGAAGATTGATTTCGGTTCCGGATTACGACCCAAAATAGGCACGCTTGGTGCACGTGGAAATACAAGCGCATGTTTTCATCACCGCAAGAGATGCCGTACGTCCTGTTCGGTATAGGCCCGTAGCTCTCAAGTTTTGAGCAGCGCTCCAGGCGAGCAAAATAGAATATTTGGTTCGGGTTTCGAACATGCGTCAATACGCTACTCCGTTCCATTCTAGGTGCCAGCGTAGCAGAGGCTACAAGAACGAGCTGCGAGCTTTCAGCGTCCCTGTCAAGCACGCGCGCTCGTGCAGTGCGAG